TGTATCAAGGACACAAATATGACAAAGATTGTTTTTAAAAAATTCTGGTTACATCTTAAATTAATTTTTGTTGTTGTTATTACATCTCTTTCTTTGGACCCAGCATCATGGAATCTACTAATAAGTTTGGATTCTTTGGGGTTGTCTCATGCAGAGCCATACTAATTACACCAGTATATGTTTCCATCATAACACTGCAGCAAGGGAAAGTTACAATTACTAAATGCCTTCCTTTCAACTGTTGAAATAAACTTAACATGATATAATTGAACGATATTGCAAACGAAGAGGACTTTCCAGGACACACAGGATACGACTTTTGGAAAGATATCATGGCAACAGCTGCATTGTTCTGAAGGGTTTTCTTGCTGCAAAGGTGTTAGATCTAGAACCACAGGATCATAATTCTAGGGCTGGGTCACAAAGGTAGTGGGTGTCAGGGGTATTTAGTATTCAAATCCAGTTCTTTTGACTCCAGATTGTATCAGCAGTAGTATCTGAATCTAGTCCTTCTTGACTTTTCTTGACTGGAATTTAGTACCCTGTCCACTTGCCATGCTGCCTCCCAGGGGAAACATCATTATCATCATCATCATCATCATCATAACTATTGCCTGGAGGGAAAACATTAATTCACTGTCAACTATGGAAATATTGTATAATTTTCATTTTTCAGTCATGCCTAACTCTTTGTGACCTCATTCAGGGTTTTCTTGGCAAAAATACTGACTGGAGTGGTTTGCCATTTCCTTCTCCAGTTCATTTGTCAGATGAGGAAACTGAGGCAAACAGGGTTGAGTGACTTGTCCAGGGTCACACAACTAGTAAGCATCTGAGGTCAGATTTGAACTAAAGAAGATGACTCTTCCTGAGTCTAGGCCCGGCACTCTATTCACTGTGTCGTCTAGCTTCTCTTCAAGCTATATGGCCATGAACAAATCACTTCACCCCTCTCAGCCCTTTCTTCATCTGTAAAATGAGATTAGTAATCCTCGCCCACTGCCCAAGGTTGATGTGAGGAGAAAAAAAGGTTGAAAGAGATGGAGAAAATTTGGAACTCAATTTTTTTTAAAAGGATGTTTAAAAGGTCTTTACATGTAATTACAAAAAAATAAAATATTTAATTTAAAAAGAAAAAGAAAAAAAAAGGCTTTATAACTGAAAGATGACTATACTAACCATGAAGCCTAAAGTTTAAGTTTGGCAAGGGCTAACAGAAATGTGACTTGAGAGAATGGAACATAGGAAGAATGCATTTTGAGAGGAGGAAGGAGAGAAAGTAGAAAACATGCAGTAGTTTGGGGACCTGCTTACCCCGGAAAGGGGTGATGGGACTATTAGCAGAAACAAGGAAGGATAGCAGAGAAAGAAAGATAAGGAATAGCTCAAGCTATTCTTCATCCACATCTCAACTTTGCCCATGATTACACTTGCCTCTACTTAATTCTAGTTCATATTCTGGCTACCTTCCTCTCTATCAGTATCGCCTACAGAAAGCAGAGAGTACAAAGGGCTAGTGAAAGCAATTAGGGACTGAAAGGCTAATTTAAAATGAGTCAGTCTGGGCCTCAGTTTCCTTATTTGAAAAAAATGTGGTTGGATGGGGTGATCTAAGGTCCCACTTAACCCTAATACTTATTATGTGAGTTTAACTTTTTTTGTGTGATGTATATTTTTATTACCAAGAAGCTTACATTTAAAAGTATTATATGGCTGCCCATTCTTATTCCTCTAGTGGAATAGTTTATGACTATAAAGAGGGAAAAAATATGGAATGCTTCACGAATTTCCGTGTCATCCTTGCGCAGGGGCCATGCTAATCTTCTCTGTATCGTTTCAATTTTAGTATATGTGCTGCTGAAGCAAGCACATGAGTTTAACTTCTTAATAATTTGTTGCCAAATAATCAAAGGAAATAAACAATTGAATCTGATAAAAATTTGGGATTGTCCATGATGTTTAACTTTAGGCAGAACTAGCAGAGATAACCGGGATTCTGCCCATAGCTGCCAACATCCTAGGCAGCACTATGTTTATGAAAAGACAGAATGTTGTGTATAGTGAGGAAACTAAGGCATAGAAGTGTTTAGTGGCTTCTATGGTCCTTTCCAGCTCTAAATCTATGATCCCACAATCCTTTCAGCTGAGCAGATACGTATTTTCTAATCTCTTAAGGAATGCTTAAATACCAATCTGTCAAGATCTGTTCTTCAGACCTCTCAGCAATGCAAGGATCCAAGACAACTCCAAAGGATCCATGATGGAAAATGCTGTCAACATCCAGAAAAAGAACTATGGAGTCTGAATGCAGATAGAAGCATATTACTTGATCTCTTTTTTTTTGTCTGTTTCTACTTTCTCATGGTTTCTCCCGTTGGTTCTAACTCTTCTGTACAACATGACTAATGTGAAAATAAGTTCAATATGAATGTATATGCAAAGCCTGTATTAGATTGCATGTTGTCTTGGGGTGGGGGGAGGGGAGAGATGGGGAGAAAATTTGGAACTAAAAATCTTAAGGAAGTGAATGTTGAAAACTAAAAATAAATAAATTTTTTTAAAAAAGATCTGTTTTTCCTCCCCAACACTTGTCTCCAATCCACCCCTTCTCTCTAAATTGAACATATCCAGTTAAGGGTATGAGAAAGTGTTCATTTCCAATGAAGTCAACAGCAGAGGGGGGGCCATAAATACTAGAGTCAAAACATCAGCTCTGAGACTGCTTGAGGTCCAAATACCACAGGGCTAACTCAGCCTTTCATCTCTCATTCCAACATCAAGAAAACTGAATTTGAAATGACATCTCTCAGGTGGTAGAAAAAGAATCTTTCAACAAAACCTCAAAATAGAGGCTGAGGACACTTGAGGTCACCTTGCATTTCTCATTATAGTACCACATTTCTTTTTTTGGGGGTGGGGAGGTGGGGAGGAACGAGAATCAAATACCTCATCTGATTGAGAGCTACCATCTGCTTGAAATGCATGGATCAATTTACATGACTAAACTTGTTTGAAGAAAAAGGCTTACAGGTGGTGGATAAGACTATCCATATAAAAGTTATCCAAATAAATTGTTATTAGACCTTGTTTTGATTGATGATAAGCATTATGAAGCAATGTGAGATACTCAAATAAAAAAGCATGCCTACTATAACATCATTTTAATCACAAAGAAATATTTATTGTTAGTGAACTGGACTAGAGTCCAGGACTAGGGCATTATGGGTATTTTTGTGGTTCAGGTCAGATGTGGTTTCTGTTATTACCTAATAAAAGTTCTCCTTTGTGGACGGTTGGCCCCCGCCTTCCTTCTTTCAGTAAAGTCTTTACATTTGGTTTCTTAAAGAAGCACCCAGGATACTCTGACTCCAGTCACTGAAGATCTAATTGGTGGATTGGTGGCATCAAAAAATCGGGAAAAAGAAAGCTTATGGAGTCTCACTGTAAGTGGCTCCTTTAGTCAATCTGGATGAAAGCCTACTCCCAAAACAGAGCTGTCAAACTACTTGGATCACAGAGAAGTTTACAAACCTGTGTCCCTTTTCCAAGTCCCAATCCACCATGACTCATAGCAAGTACTTACCTTATCCCCATTCAAGGTAAACTTGATTAGAGAACAAAACTGAGCGAACAATGTTTTTACAATTGGAAAAGTTTTATTGGTAGCACTTTGAGGTAGCATACTTTGTGAAATAATAGAAAGAGTCAGAGCTGCTCATCAATTTCCCCTTTACTCAAAGGCACTGTCATGCCCACCCTTGCATATGGTTGAAAAAAGTGAAGTTGTATGTATGAATGCTCAACTCCTTCCCCTAACTCCCATCTCCCCTAACAATCCCAACCCGCCCCTACCCTCACTTGTTTTATTTATAAAACCTGATTAACTCAGTGACAAAGGACCCAGCTACCCACCTATTGATTCCTTTTTCCTATTGGATTAGAGTGTAATACAGTGGAGAGAACACTAGATTGGAGGCAGAGGACCTGGGTTTGAATCCTGGCACATATGATCTCTGTGACCATGGGCAAGTCACTCTATCCCTCATCCCTATCCATGAAATGAAGGATTTGGATTAAATGACCTCTAAAGTTCCTTCTAGTTCTAAATCTAGTATCCTATAATCTGTTGCCTAAAGGGTCTAGCCACTCCCCTTGCTGCATGGAACCCTCCTTAGTAGCCACAAAAGCCATGCACATAACTGGAGAGTGAAATAGGGTACAATTACCACTCTGTTCTACTTAATCTCAAAACTATGATGAATCAGGATAACCTACTCTTTCTAGACTATAAAAAGGTCTAGTTCTACACTTCTTCCATGAGATCTAGGGCTTCAGAATAGAAGCTCATTCCCTTACCCTTGGGAATAACCATATCGGGAGGTAGCTAGCTTCCTAGGACCCTCAGGCAGATCTGTGAGTAGAAAGGCTTACGCATCACTGGAGCCCAAGCAAGGCCCAAGGTTCTAAAAAGTCACAGGTCAGGAAGAGAGCCTGATTATTAAATATGAGTAAAAATGTAAATATCCAACTTAGCACTGCATATAAGACACAAATATACAGCTAGAGCAGGCTAAGGATTAAAGCTGCAAAATGGTCCCAATCAACTTCAGACTTTAATACTGGAATTTAAAAAATCTCCTGATGTTCATAGGTTAAGAAATTCTTACCTCAGAAATAGCCCTTTCTTCCCAATTCATTTCACTATTAAAAAACTGAATACACACACACACACACACACACACACACACACACACACACACACAAACTCAGTGTAAAAGTGAACAAAGTGACCATGTCCAGACAAGGACAGAAGCCACGCCTGAGCTGCCACTTAGAAACTAACAACAAAAATAAAGTCAGTCAGTAACACGTAAAATCCTCAAAGTCTGCCTGAGGACAGACACAAAAGAATCATCTCCACGTGCCACCTGATGAGTTCAAATGGCTATAAGACACACAACTGAATGTCAGACTTCAAGTAATCCAAGGCACAAGAAGACTTGCCCCCAAATTAGCCTCAGGCACATTCTTGTGAACACCCCAGGTTTCTCCACAATACAAAAACTAGAAAACTGTGTACAGTAAATACAAACTAGGATGGGGGAGGAGGAGGAGGGAAAGGCATCAAGGGAAAGGGAGAAGAGACACTCTGAATAAACTGGCTTTACAAATAGGAATAAATTCTTTAACATTTTGTACAATGAGAAGGTGCACAGACTGGCACTGAAGCTGTCGATTCAGGCTTCTGTCGCAAACAGCAAAATGATTTCCTCAGGTTTTAACAGTGTCATTTAAAATGCCATAAATTAAATAAGTTAGTTCACATTTTCCCCTAGCACTTAAGTTATATTTTAGTCTCTAATGTGCTCTTGAAGCTCTCTTTAAAAGTTCGATGTCTCTTCTTCGGATACTGTGGACTTTGTCGCAGCCATACTCTTCCAGTTGCAAAGGTATGTATTTTTCAAGCAGCCCTAGGCCCTGTCCAGCAGGACTGGTAAACAGTTTGGTCCACGCTGGTTTAAAGTTTCCGCTGAATCCCAGGAATACTATACTCCCTGCAACATAAGAGCCCAGTTATTAGTTACAGAGTTCTATGTAAGGCCAGAGGGTGCTCAAACCAGGGATAACCATGAAATCCACATTCCCTTAAGTCAGCAAACTAACTCCTGCCACCCACATCTTGTCCCAAGCAACAAAATACATTCCCATACATTTCTTTTTAAAAGCTCTTTTGCTTTTAAATTTTCAGTCCAGCATGGTGGCCTTCATCTGGAGGACACTTCCCCATTCCCTCTCACTTCCCTGTTCCAAACACTCCTCTCTGGCTATTAGTCTTCTAAATATTTTGTCTTCCTCTATTAGAATAAATTCCTTGAGGTCAGGGACTTTCTTACTTGCTTGTTATCTATATCAGCCTTACTAACACAGTACACAGCACATGGTAAGTATAGAATAAATGCTTTTGGAAGGTAAAATTGGAATGATACAGAGAAGATTAGCATAGCCCCTGCACAAGGATGACATGCAAATTTGTGAAACCTTTCATATTTTTGTAGGAGGGGAAGGGGATGGAGGGGTGCTCATAGAAGGGAGGGCAGATTGGGGGAGGTGGTAGTCAGAAACAAGACAATTTTGAGGAGGGACAGGGTAAAAGGAGAGACTAGAATAAATGGGGGGAAATAGGATGGAGGGAAATATAGTTAGCAATTACAACTGTGAAAAAATTTTGAAGCAAGTTTCTCTGAAAAAGGCCTCATCTCTCAAATAAATAGAGAAATGAGTCAAATTTATAAAAATAAGAACCATTCTACAAATGATAAACGATCAAAAAATATATAGTAAGTTTTCAGATAAAGTAATCAAAGCTATTTATAGTCATGTAAAAAAAATGTTCTAAATCACTACTGATTGGAGAAATGCAAATTAAAATAATTCTGAGGTACTACCTCACACCTAATAGGCTAGAAAAGGAAAATGACAAATGGAGGAGGGGATGTGGGAAAATTGAGACATGAAAACACTGGTAGTGGAGTTGTCAATGGATTCAATTATTATATAGAGCAACTTGGAACTATGCCCAAAGCCATGCATATCCTTTGACCCAGCAATACCATTACTAGGTCTGTATCTCAACAGAGATAAAAAACCAAAAGGAAAAGGACCTATATGTACAAAAATATTTATATCAGCTCTTTTCTGGTGGCAAAGAATTGGAAACTAAGAGGATACCCATCAATTGGGGAATGATTGAATAAGTTATGATACGTTAGGGAATACTAATTGTGCTATAAGAAATGATGAGATAGATGCTCTCAGAAAAACCTGGAAAGACTTACATGAACTGACACAAAAAGAAATAAGTAGAACCAGGAGAAAATTGTGCACAGTAATAACAATATTTGTAAGATCAACTGTGAATGACTTAGCTATTCTCAACAATACAAGGATCCAAGACAATTCTGAAAGACTTATGATGAAAAATGCCATCCATCCCCAGAGAAAGAACTGATAGAGTCAGAATACAGATTCAAAGCATATTTTTTTTTAACTTTATTTTTCTTGGATTTTTTATTTTGGTCTATGTTTTCTTTTACAACATGACTAATATGGAAATGTTTTGCATGACTACACATATATAACCTATGTCAAATTGCTTGCCTTCTCAGTGAGAAGGGTGGGGAGGGAGAAAGAGAATTTGGAACTCAATTTTAAAAATGAATGTTGAAAAAATGTTTTTTATGTATAGTTAGGAGAAAATAAAGTACTAAACAAAAAGAGACCCTTTTTTATAAGGAACAGTCAATGATGGAAAAGGCAGAAAAAGAGAGGGTATACCTTTTAATTTTTATTTCTTTCATTCATTGACAAGTTAAAGTTCCCAGTGAACATATAAAAATGTAGATAGCATAAGCAACTTAAGAGTTATCCACAAAAATGTAAATACCAACCTTTGTTATGAAGATGAGCTGGTTTGGCTAATCCCAGGGGTATTAAAGCTTCAGAAATATTCAGATTTTTAATTTCTCCTCTTGTGCTCAGCAGAACAATTGACCTATATTTTAAAAAATTTAGAATACTTCATTTTCATTCAGTGAAATGTCTATTATATACACACAAATGCCCCTCATTTTCTCCAGCCTCATACCCCTTACCTTCTCATAAACTATCCCCAGCAAAGACAAAATATAAACTTGGATAAGCCATAGATATTTTAGGTAGACTGAGCTAGCGAAGGGCTCAGGCTGTAACTCTTTTAGTAGGGGGTACAGAGCCAATGTGTGATGGAAGCAGCCAGAATTCCCTTCTAAAGGCCAAGCAATCTCAGCAGCAGGATGCCTCAAAAACAGAGTCTCAAGAAATCCTAAAGCTTTGACTACCTCTGCATAGATGAGAGCTGCCCAGCCCAGTTTCATGGAATGCCTTCCATCTGCCCAGGAATTCAGTGACTCTAAAAAGGGGTTCTTAACCTGAGGTCCATGGACCCCCTAAGCTATCTTTGGATAAATTTTAGACATTTGGTGAACTTAAATGGGAATATATATGCACGCACACACACACAACACACACTCTCTCTCTCTCTCTCTCTCTCTCACACACACACTTTTTCATTAACCTCTAACTGAAATTTAGAATTATCTTCAATTGGGAATTTTTCTGGAAAAAAAAAAGCATTATTTTGATAATAAGCCCATTGACCTCACCAGACTGGTGAAAGAGGCCCATGGCACAAAAAGGGCTAAGAACTGATACTCTAGAAGTTAATCCTAGTAGCCCCAGGAGAGTATTCATTTGCACAGCTAAATCTTACACCTAAATAATCTGTTGGCAGAGTGATTTGTGAGTTCAAAGGACTATCTTGAATATCTGTGGCAAAATTCATATCAGGCTGAATTCTTGGATGTTTTAGAATTAATTGTTTACAACAAAACATTAAAGAATAAGGCCCAGGAAAAGATTCCTCCATAAGAGTAACAATCTAAGGCAGGAGAAGTGAGGAAGTTAAAAAAAAGATATTTGCGGGGGGGGGCCGTTGTTCAGGGGAGTGGAGAGAGACAGAGGGACAAAGAAGGAAGGGGATAGGGAGAGGAAGGGAGGGAGAGAGAGAGGAAGGAAGCAGGGAAAGAAAGAGAGAGAGATCAAATAATCTGCTGAATAATGAAAATCAGAATATGTGAAGATCTGTTTCTGATGTCTACATAAAACAATGGTAAGATATATTGAAGGTAATCCAAAAATGGAAAAGGCTTACAAAATAAAATGTGCATTTTGGGGGCTTTTCTAAACAAAAGCATGTGAACTACATGGGCATCAGTAATGGTTAATATGATAAATAATCTTTATCACAGTCATTGGATTAAAGAGGACCTTGAGATCATTCCTGAGAGTGAAAATTAAAAAAAAAAAAAAGATTTAGATTATTCCCAAAAGACAACAGTCTCTTCTACGTGAGGATGACCAAAACAACAACAAAAAAAGTCTGACTTGTCCATCTTATTCAAAGTGATGGGCAGATGAGGGTCTCTATCAAAAATACCTCAGGTTGTTTTCAAAGCTCTGCTCCATTCTGCCTCACCAGATTATGACCTTGGACCCTCACTTTAGCTCTATACTCAGGGTCTATACCTTGCAAAAGCAATCATCGTGTAAGGACCTTTTAGGCCCTTCTGGTACATTAGTAACTTGTGTAGACAGTTCCCACCTATACCCAAATCTCTATAACAGAGAGGGTTAACAATAAATTCGCAGTGTGTCTTTCTTTCCCCTAAGAGATTCTATAACAATACATAAATGTCCAGAATTCAAGCCCTCAGACAATAATAGTAATAACTAGTCTCTGTGTCCTGCTTTATGGTCAGCAAAGCGTCAACATGGATACACCATCTCATTTGTTCATCTGCAGGTCTGCTGAACTGAAAATAATTCGAGACCACTCCTCAAAGAAAAACAGGGAAAGAAACTGTTCTACAGAGGACAAAAATTGGGGGTGGGGAATGGGGAGGGCAGGGAACACAGCACTAAAAGAGGCATGGACTATGTTAAAATGTCAGAGTAGGGAGACAATTTAAAGAGCCCAGAGTTAACTGTTATCTTATCAGAGTACTTCACCGCTTTAAAATACCCTATTTTTATTGTATGGAAATACAAACTGGTAGCCTCCTACAGTAGACAGAACACTGAATTTGGAGAGTGAGGAAAACTAGTTTGACAATTGTTAGCTGTTTGACCCTGGGTAAGTCACTGTTCCTAAGCCTCAGTTTCCTCACCTATAAAATAAGATACTTACTGTGGGAAAAGTGCTTTAAAAACCTTAAGGTGCACTATTATTATTACAAAAAAGTTCACATACCTCACAGGAATTGATGTTTTTAAATATTCTTTCAGACGTTCAACTTCATTAAAAGAGAATAATTTGTTTTGAGATACTCGGCAAGGAACACTACAGGCATCCACAACAAGGAGATACAGACCCACACCTGTGACTGGATAGTTGGTACCATTGACCTGATAATACAAAGACATTACCTGCTATTAATGCTATTTTTGTGGTTTCTCAACTATTCGTTACTCTCTTTTCCCATTCCCCTTTGATTTTTTAAAATTCATTTTTAAAATTTTATTTTTTAATTAACCAGCATTTATTTTCTTTCCTTTCTACATACCCTTAATTTAAAAGAAAAACAAACAAACAAACAAACACCTTTTAAACAAATATTCCTAGCCACGCAAAAACAAATTTCCACATTGGCCATGTCTCATTCTGCATCTAGAAACCATTCTCTTTTAGGGGATGGGTAGCATGCTTCATCATCCATCCTCTGGAATCATGGTTGCTCACTTCCTTGATTAGAGTTCTTAAGTTTTTCAAAGTTGTTAGTCTTTTTGTTTGTTTGTTTTTGTTTTTTGGTAAATAGCATTTTATTTTTTCCAATTACACGTAAAGATAGTTTTCAAAATTCATTTTTTGTAAGATTTTGAGTTTCAATTTTTTTCTCCCTCTCTCCCATCCCCCCTTCCCAAGACAGAAAGCAGTCTAATATATGTTATGCATGTGCAATCATGGAACCATATTTCCACATTAGTCATGTTGTGAAAGAAGAAACAGAACAAAAGGAAAAAGCCACACACACACATTAAAAAAAAAGTAGAAATAGTATACTTCGTTCTGCATTCAGACTCCATAGTTCTTTCTCTGGACGTGAATAACATTTTCCATCATGAGTCTTTTGGAATTGTCTTGGATCATTGAATGGCTGAGAAGAGCTAAGTCTATCACACTTGATCACTGCACAATGTTGCTGTTATACTGTGTACAATGTTATCCTAGTTCTGCTCACTTCACTCAGCATCAGTTCATTTAAGTCTTTCCAAGTTCTTCTGAAATCTACCTGTTCATCATTTCTTATAGCAGAAGAGTATTTCATTACATTCACATACCACACCTTATTCAGCCATTCCCCAATTGATGGGTATCCCCTCAGTTTCCAACTCTTTGCCACCACAAAAAAAGCTGCTATAAATATTTTTATTCAGGTAGGTCCTTTTTCCTTTTTTATAATCTCTTTGGGATACAGACCGAGTAGTGGTATTGCTGGATCAAAAAGTATGCAGAGTTGGATTGCCCTTTGGGCATAGTTCTGAATTGCTCTCCAGAATGGTTAGATCACTTCACAACTCCACCAACAATGCCTTAGTGTCCCAATTTTTCCACATCTTCTCCAACATTTATCATTTTCCTTATTGGTCAAATTAGCCAATCTGATATGTGTGAGGTGGTACCTACAGTTGTTTTAATTTGCATTTCTCTAATCAATAGTGATTTAGAGCATTTTTTCATATAATAGTTTGAACTTCTTAATCTGAAAATTGCCTGTGCATATCTTTTAACCATTTATCAATTGAGGAATTATTTGTATTCTTATAAATTTGATTCTGTTTGCTATATATTTGAGAAATGAGGCCTTTATAAGTATCACTGACTGTAAAAATTGTTTCCCATCTTTCTGCTTTCCTTCTAATCTTGGTTGGGTTGGTTTGGTTTGTGAAAAACTTTTCAATTTAATGTAATAAAAATTATCCATTTTGTATTTCATAATGTTCTTTATCTCATTTGGAAATAAATTCTTCCCTTCTCCATAGATCTGACAGGTGAACTATTCCTTGCTCACCTAATTTGCTTATGGTATGACCCTCTATATTTAAATCATGTGCCTATTTTGACCTTATCTTGGTATATACAGTAAGATGTTGGTCTTTGCCTAGTTTTGGCCATGCTATTATCCAATTTTCCTGACAGTTTTTGACAAATAGTGAGTTTTTATCCCAGAAATTGGAGTCTTTGGGTTTATCAAACCATGGATTACTATGATCATTTACTACTGGCATGTTGAGTACCTAATATATTCCACTGATCCACCACTCTACTTCTTAGCCAGTACCAAATAGTTTTGATGAATGCTGCTTTATAATATAGTTTTAGATCTGGTATAACTAGGCCACCTTCCTTTGCATTTTTTTTATTAATTCCCTTGATATTCTTGACCTTTTGTTCTTCCAGATGAATTTCTTTTTTTATTTTTTCTAGCTCTACAAAATAATTTCTGGTAGTTTGATTGGCATGGCACTGAATAAGTAAATTAATTTAGGTACAGTTGTCATTTTTATTATATTAGCTCAACCTTCCCATGAGCAACTGATGTTTTTCCAGTTGTTTAGATCTGCCTTGATCTGTGTGAAAAGTGTTTTGTGATTGTGTTCATATGGTTCCTGGGTTTGTCTTGGCAAGTAGGCTACCAACTCTTTTATATTACTGACAGTTATTTTAAATGGAATTTCTCTTTCTATCTCTTCTTACTGAGCTTTGTTGGTAACATATAGAAATGCTAATGATTTATGTGAGTTTATTTTATATCCTGCCACTTCATCTATTTTTCCAAATAGTTTATGTAGTATTGGAATTAATTGTTCTTTAAATGTTTGGTAGAATTCACTTCTAAATCTATCTGGCCCTGAAGATTTTTTCTTAGGGAGTTCATTGATGGCTTGTTCAATTTCTTTTTCTAAAATGGTGTTATTTAAATATTTTATTTCCTCTTCTGTTAATCTTGGCAATTTATATCTTTGTAAATATTTGTCTATTTCATTTAGATTGTCAGATTTACTGGCATACAGTTGGGCAAAATAGCTCCTAATTATTGTTTTAATTTCCTCTTCATTAGTGGTGAACTCACCTTTTTCATTTTTGATATTCATAATTTAGTTTTCTTCTTTCTTTTTTTAATCAAATTAACCAAAGGTTTATCTATTTTATTGTTTTTTTTTTCATAAAACTAGCTCTTAGTTTTATTTATTAGTTCAATAGTTTTCTTACTTTCAATTTTATTAATCTCTCCTTTGATTTTCAGAATCTCTAATTTGGTATTTAACTGGGGACTCTTAATTTGCTCTTTTTCTAGCTTTTTAGTTGCATGCTTAGTTCACTGATCTGTTCTTTCTCTATTTTATTCATGTAAGCATTTAGAGATATAAAATTTCCCCTAAATACTACTTTGGCTGCATCCCATAAATTTTGGTATGTTGTCTCATTATTATCATTCTTTCTGATGAAATTATTGATTGTTTCTATGATTTGTCGTTTGACCCACTCATTCTTTAGGATTAGATTATTTAGTTTCCAAATGATTTTTAGTCTATCTTTCCATGGCCTTGGATTACATGTAATTTTTATTGCATCATGATCTGAAAAGAATGTATCTAATATTTCTGTCTTTCTGAATTGAATTGTGAGATTTTTATGCCCTACTACATGGTTAATTTTTGTGTAGGTACCATGTACTGCTGAGAAAAAGGTATATTACTTTCTATCCCCATTCAATTTTCTCCAGACGTCTGGTATATCTAACTTTTCTAAAATCTATTTACTTCCTTAACTTCTTTATTGTTTATTTTGTGGTTAGATTTATCTAGTTCTGAGAGGGGAAGGTTGAGGTCTCCTACTAGTATAGTTTTGCTGTCTATTTCTTCCTGTAACTCACTTAACTTCTCCTTTAAGAATCTGAATGCTATAACACATGGTGTATATATGTTTAGTATTGATATTACTTCACTGTCTACGGTACCTTTTAGCAGGATGTAGTTTCCTTCCTTGTCTCTTTTAATTAGGTCTATTTTTGCCTTTGTTTTGTTTCATCCTCTCCTTTCTTTCCCTCTACTGTAAACAGGTCTTTCATGCCTCTTCATGTGATATAATATATACCATTCTGCCTCCCCCTTTCCTTTTTTCCCAGTACAATCTTTTTTTTTCTCCCCTTAATTTTTTTTATCATATCACAGGCAACTTATACCCACACCCTCTGTCTAAGTATATGCCTTCTAACTGCCCTAAATAGAGATACTGTTCTCAGAGTTATAAGTATCATCTTCCGGTGTAGGAATTTAAATAGTTTAACTTTACTGAATACCATGGTTACCTTTTTGTGCTCTCTTGAGTCTTGTATTTGAAGATCAAACTTTCTGGTTAGTTCTGGTCTTTCATGGGGAAAATTTGAAAGTCTACTATTTCATTGAATATACATCTTTTCCCCTAAAGATTATGTCAATTTTGTTGGGTAGTTGATTCTTGGTTGCCTTTAAAGAGACATATCACTCTGCTCTGAGCAATCATTTTTGGAGATTCAATTTGGCCTGTGGTTATGGTTAAGTCATCTGATGTTAGCATGGCAGCCAATTTCATGAAAAAGTTTCACAATTTGACAATATCAATATTGACTCATTTTTGACAAGCCCACATACAAGATACCTGCAGAAGCCACTGTGATGATCAGATACAGCTCACTGAACCCAATTCTGTGTGTATCACTGGAGTTCACAGCTCTAAGTGTCTGTGATGTTGTTGATTTAGGCAACTTCCAGGTAAGGAAACTCCCTTTAACAATGCAGGTCAGTATGTTCTTTGCAACTTACAATATTAGAGCAATGTCTAGAGCACTAAGATGGTCAACTGACTTGCCTAAAGTCATACAGCCAATAATATGTATCAAAGTGGGACTTGACCCAGTTCTTCCTGGCTTTGAGAATAGCTCTCTAGCCACTGGGGAGCCCTGGGAAAGACCCTCAAAAACTGAAAGCTTCCAGTTTTGTCATCAGTAAAAATGGAGGAGATGTTAGTTTAATATATGGAAGGATCATCATGGTTTAGTAGAAAGTATACTGGTTTGGAGTCAGAGGACCTGGGTTAAATAATGCCTAATGTTATAGTAATGCAAAATACTCACTTCCATGATGAATTTATTTCCCATACTTTCCAGTATACAAATGCAAAAGTTCAGGGATTACCTGCATGTGGATTTTCCAAGGGAAAATATTATTTTTATCTGAGGTAGTTTTTTCCCGACACTCAGCTGATTCCTAAATCACCTTATGCTCACTCTCAGTCAATATGTGCTTTAGTAATATAAACTCATCTTAATCTTAGTTCAAACTGAAGGTAATTAGGAAGATAAATCTGCTCTGGCTGTAGGAGAAAAACAAAACAAAACAAAACCAATATAAATGAAAGCCAATTAATTTAGTGGCTCTCTCTGCGACTGCTTCTTTTTTTTCCAGTGGCACAGGTCACTAAGAACTGATTGTACAAATAAATAACAATTCCCAGAAACCACTCATGTTGATGGGCCAAAGATCTGGCTTCAGATTCTGCTCCTGACACTTAGTAGCTATTCAACTTTAGGCAAAGCACTTAGCTTTTCCTAGACTCAGTTTCCTCATCTGTAAATTAGGGATAATATTTAGAATACCTACTTTACAGGACTGTGATGATGTTCCAATGAGATAATGTAGAAAAAACATTCTGCAAGCTTAAAATGCTATATGATTGTCTTTAACAATTATTTTCAAATAAACAAGAGAAGTTCACTAATAAGCTTTTACTCACAGAGATGAAGGATTTATTTCCACGCTGAATGTCTGCTTTGCTAGGTGACTGGAACTGTACAGGCAAGTAGAACTTGTGAGGATCACTGGTAAACACCATCTAGGTAATGAAATAAGTCAACACACATCATCTGAATTTGGCTACAAAAATTACCTCCCTTAAATACCTTAAACTCACTTTGGCTGGAGCTCCTAGGTCAGAGATGTTTCACATTTTCAGGGGGTTCTGAAAACCCTTCTCAGTTGTTTTTAGAGGATCCTGAATCTCTACTTTGGTGAAGAGTTAGAACAAAGCCACTAAGTGACAGGCTTTCATCTTTTCACTCCCCAAGTCAAAAAAATGTCAGTGATTCCTTGTTTTCTATTGCCTCAAATGCAAATTGTGTTGCTTTCAAAACCCCTCTAGAACAGTGGCATCAAACTCAAATAGGAACAGAGTCCTGAGACTGCATATTGACACAGAAAAACACAAATTAACATTATATTGTACTGTATTTTAATTTATTTCGTTAAAGATTTCCCAATTACATTTTAATCTGGTCTGACCAAACTCAGGAGTGGCCATAAGTTTGACATCTCTGCTCTAGAATATGACCTTGACCTTATTTCTCACATATAACCCCATAACATCAACCCTCCCTTCCAGTCATGTTTAGTACCTCACTGTCTCTTAAATCTATTATGCTCCTTCCTGCCTCTGGCCCTATACTCAGTGGTGGTCCCATCACCTGGAATGCTGTCTTGTCTTGCCTCTGTCTATCCAAGCCCTGTAAACTTTCAAAACCTGTATCAAGTTCCATATTTTCCAAAAAGTAGGTCTACTCCTCTTAGGAATGAAAAAGATTGCAGTCAATCACTCCATTTAACAGTTTATTAGCTGTTTGATTTGCTTTCTAATTGTTTTACATACACTAGATTTATCTCCCAATTGAATTGTCAGTGACCTTGACAACAGGGACCATGTTTCTTACTCTGGAAAATCTCAACACTAAACATACAAATAAGTACTTGTTGACTGATTAGTGATCAAAGAGATACAAATTCAGTAGTTAGATATGTCTATACATGCTTTCGGGCAGCTCGGTGGGGCAGTGGATAGAGTGCTGGACCTGAAGTTGAGAAGACTCATTTTCATGAGTTCAAACCTGGCCTCAGATATTTACTAGCTGTGTGACCCTGGGCAAGTCACTTTGCCCTATTTGCCTCAACTTCCTCATCTGTAAAAGGAGCTGGAGAAGGAAATGGCAAATCACTCCAGTATCTTTGCCAAGAAAACCCCAAATGGGGTCACAGAGAGTCAGACAGGACTGAAACAATATCTGAACAACAAATACTTTCCTTCAATGAACTCCACCGGCACCAGAACACTGGGGCTCTGGGGAATCATGTTAGGAAATAGCATGTTACAAGAGAAATAACACTGATCCGAGAGTGAGAGGACACGAGTTTAAATCATAGGTCTAATGCTTATAGTGTGGGACCTCTGGCAAGTCACTTAACACTCTAAAACCTCAATTTCCTAAGCTGTAAAATGAGAGGGTTGAACTACATGGCGGTTTGAGCTCTCAATCTACGACACTATGATACCAGACCTCATTCCGTCCAAAACTTCTATTCTAAAATAATTCAACTACTAAATGCTTCATGTGATATCATACTAGTCACTGCCAACCTGAGAACTTTAGTTTTCTCTAAAAAAGAAAAATCCTCTAACGTTTTTCAGGGGCCTTATAAAGCCCCTAAGTCCCTTGGATCAGAGGAACTCTATGGACAGAGCCAATGGAAAAATTAAACTAGAGATGTAGTATTACTTGAATAAGTTATTGTCACTAAAACTAGAGCCATGGCTGATCAAAGAAAAAGAATTAAACAAAACTTAAGATAAAAAAGTGGTTGATGAATGGATGGAAAGTTTTAAAGTGAGGGTGGTGTTTTTCTAGAAGAGCGCTTATTGTATGTTACGGGAAAGCCTAATGTAATCATTTCTGCCTGTTCCAGTTTACTCTTATAAATGTATCTGGGAACAGAAAAAACAAAAACAAAAACAAAAGAACGGATGTGGCAAGGGAAAGGTTTTTATTTTTCCCAGACTCCCCTAGTGTTGATAAGAAAGGAAAAGAAAGATTAAAGTATATTTTCCCACAGTAGTATGCAATGCATTTTGTGTCAATTTCAGCTCTTTAAAAAAAATCTCACCTATACCATATTTCTCTTTTTCAACCTCAATGCTACTTTGACAGATAAAAGTGATCTCACAAAGCTGATCACTAATCTTCCCCCTAAATGTATTTTGTTTCTGTGGTTTACCCCAAATCTTGCCACATGATTTTTAAAAAATTTCTCTTATGAAAGTCTGTTTCCTTTTTTTTTAGGGAGATCAGCATCAAAGGGCAGGAAGTATGTGGGTGTTCTTGCACATCATGGTAAGGAGTTACTGTGCTATGCACTTATTTTTATCTGTGATGGGTCTGTTTTCATTTTGAACCCCTTCTTGTGCATCTAATTTTTAGGTCAGATTTAGACTGTTGTCTCTTTGTTCAAGAAGACATGGATTCTAGTCCAGCCTCTAATACATACTGGTTGTGTGACCCTAGGCAAGTCACTTAACTTCTCAGTACTTCAGGCAACAATCTAAGAATACAAGTTTCAGAAATAGTGGTGATCAGCATTGGTGGAGGCAATTTCCTCATCCAGGAGTTCCCTACACCAACGAAAACACAAATGGTCCCAAGTCCTTATAAAATGGCATTTTCTAAAAAGAGCTCACACATAACGGGGGAAAAAAAGGAAACAACATTTTTACATCATTGAAGTATTGAAGTATGTAGATAGTGAGATTACAGAATCATATTAAATATAAAGAAAAGAAGGTGGTGAGCATGGCGGCACATTCCTGTAGTCCCTACTAACAGGGAAGAGTTTTCAGATGTGGAAGGGCTAACACCAATCACGTCTCTCCACTGAATCTGGCACCAATATGATGGGTAAGGAATGGCTACTAGGCTGCCTAAGGAAAGGTGGACTAGCTTAGGTTGGAAAAACAGAGCAGTTTTAAAGGTTCCCTGTTGATCAGTATTGCAATCAAGTCCATGAATGGTTTAAGTACTTCCAGCATGGGTAAGATAGGGAGATCCAAAAACAAAACAAACAAAACAAAAAAGATAGGGAGACCTAGTTTCAGAAAAAAAATATATGTGCATATATGTAATATATATGAACTATATTAAAATATATTCTCTGCATTGCAAAGTCATATGTCTTGCAAACCTTGTTAATGTAATCAGGAGAGACATTTTTTGTCTAGTCCAAATTCTGTGAATATCAAAAACTTCACCACTGGGCTAAATAATAGAAGCTAGTATTTATGTTATACTTTAAAGTTTACAAAGCATTTTACAAATATTGTCACATTTTATCCTCACAACTGTGAGAGGTAGGTGTTATAATTACATTCATTTTACAGATGAGGAAACTGAGGCAGAGGTTAAATGACTTGCCCAGGGTCACATAGCTAGCATGTGTTTGAAGCCAGATTTTGAACTCAAGTCTTCCTAATTCCAGGTCCACCATTCTATCCATTATGCCACCTAACTAGCTAAAAATTAAGGGATGCCACTATGAATTTTAACTTGCTAACTTACTCTTCAAAGGAGCTGTGATCTCATTTGTTTGGAACCTATCAATAGGCTTAAAGGCTTTCCTCAGTTTTTTTTTTTATAGCCCAGTGCAGTCCTTAATCTGTTCTCCCTCTCTCTCTCTCTCTCTCTCTCCCTCCCTCCCTTCCTTCTTTCCTTCCTTTCTACCTCTCTTCCTTTATTCTCTCCTTCCCTCCTTCTTTCTTTCCTTCCCTCTAATGATTGGCATGGGAGAATTTGATCTGCTCCATTTCCAGTTTGCCCCTCCTTAGAGGTCTGCTCCTAGAGGCTCACCATTTTGGCACTGGATTTAGTGTAAATACCCAACTGGCATAGCCCACTGAAGCTCCCTAGTTCAAGAAATCTACCACTCTGAGTATCACCAGTAGCAGAGATTATAAATGAGTACCATCATGCCCAGCCCACTTTCCTTCTTAACACAAAATTATATGGGTTTTCTCCCCTAGTCCATAATGTCACTACTCTCCTACCTGATGTGTGCCACAGCTTTGACAGAGTCCAGTTAACATTGCTGGCATCTTCTTGGTGACTGATGGTTTCTTGGAGTATTGTGGGTAAGCTTTAGCCATGCAATTACTGATCTCTTTTGAGCTAGTTGTTGCTTGTATCTTGATCCGTTCACATCCCTCAGATGAGCAATAACCGTGACCTTCCCTGTTGTTTTTAGCTTTGAGGTACAGAAACAGCAATCTACATAAAATGGAAACACATCCACTGAGCTAGGATTAACACCAGATAATGACATACTTGAATCATTCTTTAATTATATACTTTTGGTCAGAATGGACACACCAAGATAAAATTATTGCTATGGCGTGACTTTTCATTTATAAGCTATTACAAAACATGGTAGAGTTGCTTAGATAATATGTTTACAACCAAGGAAAGGGACCAAATGAAATGATCACTTAGTGTAGAAGTGTCAAACTCATAGACCTGAAGGCTGCAGGCTGCCCCCAAAATTCCCTAGTATTCCCTATATTGGGAGTTCCCCATACCAGTGAAGTCTCAGGAGCAATCCCTAGTCCTTTTCCATAGCAGTAGCATTTTCTAAAAAGTTAGGGGTTCATACATCAAGAAAAAACCAGGGAAAAAAATTTATATATATATATATCATTGACATGTAAAAGGTCATGCTACTGGAGTCCAAACCACTGTAAATCCTATTAAAGCAGATCCACATTCTAAGCAAAAGTTGTAGGGTAACTGTTACAGGAATCACCATACCAGGAAGGTTTTTTGCTTTTTTGTTTGTTTGTTTGTTTTTTAGCTTTCCTTCTATGTCCTTTGAGGAAATGTAATTCAAGTGCAGCAATTTGTTTATAGACAAAAGCACCATGGTAGCCTAGCATCGTGTTTGCTACAATCAAACTATAAAATGCTATGTAATAAGGACTTTAGAGCTGTCTTATTTTGGTGGAATTCTATAAAACCTAATGTTACTACAAGCACATATAGGTAGGCTAAATATCTAGACATTGCTACCTTGAAGGACTATGGGAAAAGTGCTTTTCCATAGGAAACCCTAGCAAAATTAGTCAAACAATGGGAATTCTTGCTGAGTTTGTTATAATCAGTTATCCATTAATATTTTGCTCCTTTCCCAGAATATTAAAAAGCAATAGCAACAACAAAAATCCACTTGGGCATTTTGTTTCACTGATTCTACCTAATACAACTTCATTAATTTCCTGGTTTTGTACATCTTCCTTAATCTGACAACTTTGCCCCACTCTCATTTGATTTTTTTGTTTCCTAAAACAATTATAAACATGTCAAGTCTTTCCCAACTCAGTCATGATCTTGGTTATGGCACCTGCCATAATATCTGTAATCTCATTCTTCCTTTGCGTTAATGAAAAATGCCTTGACCAAATAAGGGAAATGCAGAATATTAAATCAATTCTTCAACAGTCTGTTAAAAGATAAGAATTTTCTATAAGAATAAAGTTATTTCAACTAAACTTGTTGGGTATTCTAGGGGCTTAGAAAATCAAAAGGCAAAATTAAATATAACCAAAAGCACACACTAAAACCAGAAGCAGAAATTGCGGCTTGGGACTAGGCCATTCCTGAATGGATGCCATCTAAAGGACCCTAAGAACCCATGAACAGGATTAGATCAAAGAAGTTAGCTCCCGTGCAGAAAAGAGAAAGTAAGAAATAGCTTTGTTCTATTCATACTCAATTAAAGTTGTAACTCACAATCATAAAGATTTGTATGAGGCTCAGAGAAATGAAATAACTTGCCAGTGGTCACGTAGCTAGTAAATGCCAAAGGCAAGATTTGAACCCATATTCCTGTCTCCAAGTTCAGCACTCTATACACTATCTCACTTTGCCTGGTGAAATTCTTTTTATTTAGTGATAAGTGGTCAGTGTGAATGATGATTACAGATACAGTGAGAAAGAGAGCAAGGCAGATTTCACTGAAATATGAAGTCTGATTTTTTTAAAAATCATGACATGTAAAAGAGCTAACTGTTATTTAATTCTTAAACTTGTCTTCCTGTTATGTCTCTGGTAGAGATGCTTTTCTTCCTCTCTCTCCAACTCTGTGCTAATAGGTGAATGCTAAACATTTCCACTAGACTCTGTCTGCCAACAATTATAAGCCATTTTGGTTTTCTTCTAAACCTCTAATAGCAATGTGCAGAGAACTGCTCCACTACAGTTGCTTTTCTAAACAGCTATCATACCCTATTCTTAGCCACTCTGCAGAGTTGGTAATTTCACTATTAAAGAAAAACAGTAATAATTCTCATCCCCAAGCTCCAGTGACTTACCCTGTGCTATAATCAAAATAGAACTTTCTGTCAGAAGGCTTCCTTTCCAGTTCTTCCATCGAAAGTACAGGCTCATATTCTTCCACATTGGTAGAAATGCCATTCTGCCTGTGGTATCTGCTAAATGTAACTTGAAAAGTGGTGTTTGAGGGATAGCAGAGGCCAACTCGAATCCAGTTATTCCTGCAAGTACAGACAATAGCTTGGCTAGTTTAATTTACAAAACGGGCTGCTTATTAAGTCTTCTATCAGTACTAGGCCTGCCAACATTTTTAGCCTTGAATTTCCCTTCCTTTATTGACTTCTGATTTTTTCTACCATGGATTCCTATTGCTAGTAATGAAAGCACCCAAAATCTCAAGATTTGCCCTAGCATTCTTCTTTGTCTTTCACCCCAAATCCTTTTTAGCAATGACCTTACAGAATGAATATCCAATTGTAACCTCTCTGTTGCAACAAGACTTGCACTTTAATTCTCAATCGTGGTCCAGATGCGCTGACTGACATATACATAGGCCAACATTACCATTGGCTCTTTCCCGCATAGTCAAGAAAGGAAGAAAAACCAAAGATAATGTCCACTCTAGAGTATGTCAGCACTTAGTTCTTCAGTTGTTGAGATTTTTTCATTATATAAACCAGAAAGATTTTGTATTATGATGAATTAACTGGCCTGCTGATTTGGAATAGAATAAACCCAGTTCATACCCTCAATAGAACTAAAAGGTTGGTGTGAGGTTGTACAATTAAGAATTACAAAATAACAATGCAAAGAGGTGGTTTTTGTCATGGAAATGTGTTCCCTTACCATACTCATATACCTGAAAAATCTGTCATTTCATCAGTATGGGCCAAGGCTTCTTAACCTGGGGTCCATAAACTTTTTTTTAATATTTTGATAATTCTATTTCAATAAAATTGGTCTTCTTTGTAATCCTATTCATTTTTTTAATCTATTTGAAAACATCATTCTGAGAAAGGGTTGATAGGTTTTACCAGATGGCCACAAGAAATCTAGGACACACACAAAAAATTAAGAATTCTTGATTTAGGGAAAATCCAGTGTGAGAACTCTGTCCACCAATTCACATTGCAAACAGTCTCTGATTTAGTAAGAAAACCCTAACGAGCTGCCTGAGGCAGAATCTGAAACCAGGTCTTCTTGACTCCAAACCTAACCTATGTCCAATATACCTCTGTCTTGCCTTCATGATGCATCATGTTCACTTGCCTTCATGATGTATCATAAGCAGTTACAGAATTTTAGAGTTGTAAGGAACCATAAAGATCATCTAATCCAATCATTTTACTTTATAGATAAGGAAACTGAAACCCAGAGAGGTTAGATGAATTACCCAAGATCATACTGCTAGAGAGCAGAAAGACCAGGACTAAGAACTAAGAATTTTTAACTTCCAGTTAAGTGCTCTTTGCCCTACTTTCTCCCATACTTCCAACAGAGAGAGTCTAAATACTACTAAAATTCCCAAACCACATTTGTACCAGTTTTTAGAACAGCCTAAAAAATTAAAGTACAATTCTAATCTACTTAATACATGCATTAAAACATATAAAATAAGCATCTCCCACTAATAAACAGCATAACAAAACAATTATTACTTTAACAGACTGAGACCACCATAAACATACTTGTTGAAATTTATGAGGTAAAGAAAGGTAGCTCGTGGGGCTGGTCCATTCCAGTGAATAGTGTATCCCTTTTCTAGCATTACTACTGGCTGGTACTGCTGAAATGCAGCTCTCTGGTTAATCCCTCGCAGTACCATGGGGTTGGATGGGTACTCATCCCGTGTGATGGTCATGCTAAGATTTTGCATGCTCCATGTCTGCACATAAACCTTCAAAAGACAAATATGAAGAATTACAAGAAATTGGATATTAAAAAACAGTTGAATAAGAATTTCCATTGAAAAGGTAGACATCTGTACTTGGAGTAGCCAACTACAACACACTAAGCTATATTTACATTGCAGTTTCCTAAGCTAGAACTGTAAAAAGCAGACAGTGTAGTGTTAGCCAACATCTTCTTAGACTATTCCATACCAGCAGACCAGTTTATTCATCATAACACAAAATCTTTCTGGCTTTTTTAACAGAGGAGGAAAAAAAAGACAACCGAAGAAGAAATGAACAAACCTGTGTAAAATGCATATCCTCTAGCCAAGCTATGAAAGAAGTCCCTCAAAAAACAATATATGGAAAATTTAGCATCTTGAAACATTCACTCTTCATTTTCCATGATATTAGGCAGCTCAAATAGTCATTTTTCAACCACAAAAAAAAAAAGCTAAACTAAGAGTCACTGAAAAAAACTGGCCAAAAAAACCCGATTATTAAATAGAGGCAAATTTGAAAGGTTTGGATTTCATTGTCATTCAAGGCCTCTGCAATGCCAAAACCAACAAAAAAGGAGTATCAAGGCAACCTTTTTACACAGAAATAATAATCTATCCCCAAATTTCTCACTAGTAATAATCACTCCTAGGGATATATTATTAGTAGTATATACATATATGTATGTTATAATATACTATGTAAACCTCCACTTAATCCACAATTCTCCCCATCATGGCATTTTTCTTATTAGTTACCAGGCCATTTTATGGATACTCAGAGTACCAGTGCTGAAACACTCACTGCTAAACATTTACTCCACTTTTTTCTTCCCAATCTTCCAATACTCTACCTTTCCATTCATTTTTAAAAATTATTGTTCTTTATCTATACCTCCTTAATTACAATTTTTTTTTCAATATGAAAATCCCCAGATTATCACTGGCCAGAATTTAGAGCAGTATAGCATTTCCCACCATTAACCCCATGACAGCAATTTCTTGCCATTTTTGCTTGTCTTTACTTCAATTTTAAATCCTTCTTCATGTTATTATCTTCCTTCCTCAATAAACTTCATTCTTGAGTCTGCAAGTACCACAGAAATTCCAAGAAGAAAATAAAGGAACAACTAGTAAACTTATTTTTATCTTGGGATCTGGCAGCCTGCAACTTTGGGCTATAAAAACCTACTTGGTTCTTTTCAAATAACCATAAAAGGTTAGTGGATCAAGTGGCAGGGTCTGAATGGGGAGAACAAAGGCATGGAAGGAATTGGCAAGAAAGAACAACATTTCATAAGGAAAATCTCTAGGTACTATTAAAAGAGGCTTTAAGTGGAAAAAAGATCACATATTCTGAGTAAGTTAACATTTATTTCATGTCCACTCATTACACTAGTCAGGCAAATACCAAAATTCAACCCTATGCCCAACTCTATGCTTAGAAGATAATATATCTGAGTCTTAGGTTTACCATTCCTTCCAATATGATGTATAGTTTTATGAAGGATTTCAGTCTTCATCCATAAGTTAAAAGAGCATCACATATCAACCCACTAGAGTGGCCAAGTTCAAATTCTAACACATTTTGGAAACCCAGTGAATTTAAACACTATTATCGTGTCAGTAATAGGAATAGTAAAGCAGACTTATACAGAGCTAGAATTATAATGACCTCAGATGGACTGTTGGCGACAGAAATTCTACTTGTGGCTCAGCTATGTGCTAGGACTTAAAGAATATATAACTTTCAACTATACACACTCAGCTTTCTCAAAAAACAAACTCATTCAAGTAGCATGTCCAGATGGTCCTTGGAAAAACAAAACAAAACAAACAAAACACTTCACTATAGTTTTCAAATGCCAAGATCCCCAAAAAGGGTTGGATTTTTCTTAACTCTTAAAACTAGATCACCTCCTATTAATGGATCAACAGTGGTTGCTCTCATTCACTATATTTTAAAATAATAATGGAGAAGAGAAAATATTCTTAAGTCACTACATTCTTTTCCAGTTTAGTATACTGTGGCTAAGTCTACCCTCTCCCTCCACTCCTCTAGCCAGAGTCAGTGGTTAAGTTTTAAATTTTGTCTAAGTGAATAAGAAATACCACAACAAAGAAAACAAGAACCCATCAAAATCAAACCAGAATGTCTCTGGATCTTTGCCCCCTTAAAGGGCTTTACTTTGCCTGCATACAGAATTCCAAGTGTAAAAATGCTAAACAACAACAACAACAACAACAATCACTAACATTTATGCAGTGCTTTATGGTTTATGAAATATTTGACACTTGAATATCATAAGAATAATAGAGCTTAGGATAATAATAATAGTAGTAATAATAATAACTGACATTTATATAGTTCTAACCACGTGCCAGGCACTGTGCTAAGTGCTTTTACAATTATTATCTCATTTTATCTTCACAACAACCCTGGGAGGTTGGTGCTATTATTATCACCATTTTACAGATGAAGAAACAAAGCAGAGACTGGCTCAAGGTCACCCAGCTAATAAGCATTTGAGGCAAGATTTTAATTCAGACAAAATGATATTATGATTGTGAAGCATTTAGCACAATGCTCTGCACACAGTAAGAGCTATATAAATGGTAGTTTATCATTATGATGTTGATATTGATGATGTCTTACGATAATATACAAATGCAAGTCTGAACAATGAGAACTAATGTTGCCAGAAAGAATTTTTCTTCCAAGACAATATATGTACATACACATACACATGTACACACAATGGAGCTAAGGAGATCTCTGGAAGTGGGTAATCCATGTCATACAAGTTGAATCACAGTGGAGAAAGGAACCCTGACTTTCTAGCTTGCCAGAGCTTAGATACATCCCACGACAGTTATGTTGCCTGAACTTACTGCTCTCTGAACCTCAGTAGGCTAAAATCCCATTATCTGCATAGCTTAGTCTGCAAGCTGTCCTCCACGGCTTCTAAGCCTCTCCTCCTAAGTTCCAGGACATTCATCTCAAATAATGACAATGGAGTCCAGAGGACCTGGTTTTTGAATCCCAGCTCTGCCATTTACTTCCTGTGAGACACTGGCCAACTCAATTCTCAGGTCAGAAGGGTCCTAGGTCAGCCAATGATCATTTCTTTTCGGGCTCTCCTTCTGACTTTTCCAGCTTCAACATCATTCCTCAGCTGCTGTCTCACCCTGGAACTTCCCTCAGTGCTGAAACCAGCTTACCTTAGAACATCCATCTGTCGCTGAGGCATTCCCCTGGAACAGACTAGCCTACATCTCTCATCGATGAGTTCCTCTTGGGGCCTCCATTTTGGGGAGTGATCCAGGTTGGCCAATTTTTATTCCCTTCCTGGCTTTCCTTCTAACTTTTCTGACTTTAACACCATACCCTGAAAGGGTACCTTCCCCTTCCCAGCCTCTATTCCCATCCTAGTTTCTGGTTCCCTTTTGTGTTTTGTCTTCCCTCCTTGAGAGAAGGGACTGTTTATGTTTTTATTTATGATACCAGTGCTTAGCATGGTGCCTAGCACATAGTAACTGCTTAATAAATGCTTCTTGACTTGTCTTGCCGGGGTCTTGGTTTCTTCATCCATAAAATGATGGGATTGGCCTAAATGATCTCTTAAGATATCTCCCAGCTCTAAATCCTATGATCTTATGAATATTTTTCTAACTAGATAACCATTCATTTTCAACATCCTTTTGCCTTCCATCCAGCTAATTAACAAATCCTACCATTTCATTCTGTAAAATATGGTCCTTAACCTCCTTTCCATTTGAAAACACGAATCATCTGGTGCCTAAATTATTGAATTTGCTTTATTTCCCTTCACAGTCTTTAATCAGTCCACGAAGACACAGGTAAAATCATCTCTCTGCTATCTGATATGCTGTCCCAAGTCATTCTCCCCAGTCACTGCTTTACTAAATCTAATTTATAAAAACAACGGGTTAAGACGTTGTGGTCTTTAAACAAATTTCACTTGTTTCCTCAGATTCTGCCTCTCTTAACCAACTGGTCATCTTCTTTGACTCATTTGTCTCACATCTCTTCTCCGCTGTGGAAAGACTGTTAGACTTGGAGCCAAGAGATGTGGGTTTGAATTCTACCTCACGGGGCTGTCATGAGAAAAGTGCTTTGCAAACTTTAAAATATTATGTGTGATTTCTTGCTACTATTAGTTCTAGCCCTATACTTTCTTTCCTGCCACCCACTAAACCTTATATTTTTCAAAATACCTAAGTCACTTACTCGAAATCTTAAAGGCTTCCTCTTCTAAGAAGGCTTCCCTGATTAAGTAGATCTATCCACATTGGCACTAAACAATAATGTTATTCCACTATTTCTCATCTTTAATTTAGCACATGGTGCAGTAGAAATCTACTCACTGGACTGGGGATCAGGAAGTGAGAATTCTAGACTCTGTTTTTCTCCTCATTCACTATGTTACCTTGGGCAAATCACTGCTCCCTCTAGGTCTCAATTTATTAAATCTAAAATGAAGAGATCAAAACTAGACCATCTTAAACTTTCCTTTCAATTTCTAACACTAGAAGGACCAAGCGGATCAAATGATCCAAAACCTTATTTGTAATTTACTATAATTTCTCCTGCCAAAGAAGGAAACAGCAAACCACTTCAAGTATCTTTGCCAAGAAAATCCCAAAAGGGGTCACAAACAGTAAGACACAATTGAAATGACTGAATAACAACAACAACAACAACAACAAATAATTTCTTCTACTTGTACAAATGTACTTTAAATATAAATATTACAGATACTATAATTTTATGTTGAAATAAAAATGTGTAACCTACTATCTTTTTTCTCTGCTTATAAATTAAAAAAAAAATTAGTGCATCAATTGATGTAGCTTCTTTCTTTGAGGTATTCTTAAATTCCAGTCCTATTAACAGTTCAAAATTTTCAATAAAATAAAACAAAATTTAAAAAGCAGAAAAAAAATGGATTTGAAGATACAAAAGAAGGAAGAGCAGTATCACATATATTCTCTAGGAATTTTTTCTAACACTAAAATCTTCAAAACACAGTCATTTCATGGAAGCAATGAATATAAAAAGCAAGTGAGGTACTATTATTCACCTTTTGAACCCTTCTGAGCATGTATATGCTGAACCCACCTGGGCATAGGTCCCACTGCAGATAATTCCATTCCACTTGGCCATATTAACACAGTCTGGATGTCTGATCAAGTAGTTGTCCATTCTACCCACGTAAGTGTCCTTGTATCTCGTTACAGAGCCATCAACATCATGGAATATAGAATTCTTGTCACCGTCCAGGTCACAATCTTCAAACCAGGGACCAGGTTTCCCAAAAAAGACGTTCAAAGAAACCTGATTGAAGGAAAAAGAAAAGGAAAGAAAACAACAAAGTTTGTGCAACAACAATCAGGTCCTCCAGCTGCATACTGGGTACAATTGTTTTAATGCCTGAACTAGGAGCACAAAATGCGAAGTTCAAAACAGAGATACCTGAATCTGGGGTATACTGGGTGTCAGGAAGGACTAGCACCTCTGGTGTGAGGGCTTGCCGAGTCGTTTTTCAGGGCTGCTCATCCACCTTTGGTGTCTACCTTGCATTCAACTCTCACCCATGGCTTAGTAGCCATACCCCAGTAAACCATCTTGGTAGATGCGCTAACGCAGGTTGAGGGTAACCAACAGGCCTCAAATCAATCAGTGAGTTAAGGGGATGTCTACCCCAAGCATGTGAAGAAAATTCTTCATGAATGAGAACAATTTGCTCTAAAGGTGATGAAGGCAGTTGAAAGAGGCGCTGTGGAGTGCTTAGAGCTTGGTCAGACATCAAAGACACCAGTGTCATCCCCTGCACCCAGGGCCATCGCCAGTCATCTTGACTTTTGCCCAGCCACTGGACTCCGGAAGAGACAGTGAGACTGACAACTTTGTGCAACTCTGCCTTGCTTAAATTCAATTCATGTTCGAGTCAAGATATCACACCATGTATGTCCTCTTCACAAAAGAAAGACAAACAACCTTAAGAGCTAGAATGCGTAATTAGAGGAATTTCAGAGTTTGCAAATGACCTCACTGTTCTCCTAAGCTACCACTAAGTCAAGGGGTCAAATGTTAATCTCCATTTCAAGTTTTACTAAAAAATTGATATCTAACCTAGAAAGAGCAGCAGATAAAGCTGATATATTTAGAAAAGAAAAAACACTGAACTTGAAAGACAGGAGACCTGGATTCAGATTCCAGCTCTGACACTTCTAACTAAATGACATGAATAATTTTCTTCAGTACTAAACATCTCAGCCATTTTATTCAGGGGAAAAAGGAGGGGAGGGTGGGATGGTGGAATAGAATTTGAAAGTGTTCTGAATTCTGCTTCCAGTTTTCATTTCAATTTCTCAAATTGCCTTTTAAGCAACTAGAAATAGTAGTTGGCGTTTTCTATCATATCATCCTTCCCAATTCATTCTTTGACACAGCTAAGATTAAGTTCCAAGTCAGGTTAGTTTTTACTGTGCTCATTTTAAAAAACTTTATTGATGCCTGATTTTACATCACATTAATATCTGAATACATCTCTAATTGTCCCCCCCCCACCATGAGCCTTCACTTGTGCCAAAAATTAAAAAAAAAATTCAGCCAAACCAATATATCAATATTAACTGACAATATATGCAACATTCCACACCTGAGGCCCCCCTCTTCTCTCAAGAAAGGAGGGATACATTTTATAGCCTTGACTCGGCACAGAACACACACTTCAGAGTAGACTGCAGCTGACATTATGAAGCTTCTGGTCAGACTTGGGGGAACTATGCCATCAACATTTCCTCATTTCCTATAAATTAATACTGTCATCCAAGCCACACAGACACATCTATAAAATATATTTATACTTTACATGTAATTTATTTTTAAAAATAGCTGTACCTTTAGCTCATATTGTGACTTGGGGCTCTTTTTGACTTGTTTGTGAATAGCTATAGGTTTCCGGTTCTGAGTTTTGGGGTGTCTAACCTTGTGCCTCCAAGTGCTAAGCTTGAGGAAAATCAGGTATATGTTAGGCCTCCCTCTAATATTCTGAGGCAGTCAAGGGTTCCTGACAAACTCTGCTACAAACAGTCTCTTGGTGTCACTGTCAGATAAAATACAAGGCTGGATAGACCAGTAAAACACTTCTTACGATACTTTACTCCTATCGAGATCGTGTCTCTTTTACAACTGTATAACATAGTGTTAATCTTATGCTGGGTCATAACAATTCTTCCATCCATCCCCTTTTTTCCATCTACACAGCCACCACCCTAGCTCAGGCACTCATCGTCTCTTGAGATGGTTTTGCAATCTGTCTATTTGCCTCATTGCTTTCTACCCTAATACGCTCTCTACACAGCTGACATTTATTTTCTTAAAGTACAGGTCTGATGGTGTGACTCCCCTACTCAATTATCTCCAGTGGCTCCCTATTGCCTCTAGGCAATAGTTGCCAGTATTTAAGGAGGTTTCATCCTCCTTAAATAGTCATGCCTTTTTTTTTGCTAAAGCAAAAAATATGCATATATGTATATATGTATACACACACACACACACACACACACATGCCTTCCCTTGTTACCTTGTGTTGATTTTGTAGGTACCTATATATGTTCTTGGCGCAGTAGATAGAGTGCTGGGCCTGAAGTCAGGAAGACTCATCTTCCTGAGTTCAAATCTAGCCTCAGATGCTTACTAGCTGTGTGACTCTGGGCAAGTCATTTAACCTTGTTTGTCTCATTTCCTCATTTGTAAAATGAGCTGGAGAAGGAAATGGTAAACCACCCCAGTATCTTTAACAAGAAAACCTCAACTGGGTCACAAAAAGTCAGGTGCAACTGAAACAACTGAACATATATGTATATGCCTGCCCACACTAGATTACAAATTCCTGGTCAGGGACTATTTCACTTTTATCTAAGTATGAGGGATACTACTAAGTATGATACCTAGAGAGAAGGCATTAAACAATGCTTGATTTGTTGAATGATTGCCAACAGCATATTACCTAGTTCCCACTGGAGACTAAAAACTTTAAGCTTAACAGACTGGTGTATGTAGGCCATAAGACCTTCTTTGGTAGCAGAGTGGCTAACATGGACACCATGGGGTCACACAGAGGTCTTTCTATTTATATTGGATAGTAAGAGATAGTCCAATTCCACAATCATAGCCTAAAAATTAGTCTAGCCCTAACTATGCCACTGGAGATAAATGGCCAAAATAAAAGTTGGATTGACTAGTCAATATTCTGTGATATGACTCAGCTGTTTCATCTGCAGAGTCAGCAGATCTTGACTTTCACTGACCTACCATAAACTTCATTTTAAAGCAAAAATAGCTTGGTTTTCAACAAGCTACTGTGATTACCACTGCTAACCATGAGGTGAGTAAAAGATGCTGAGTCCACTCTGCTCAACAGCTACTGTCAGGCGATATGACATGGTCTTAGCCTTTGTTATTCTCCACCTACACCATGAGAACTGAAGCTCTAAGTGTGTGTCTGGTTATACAGACAGAGGTGGTATATTTTGAATTATGTCAGGTAGATGGCCAAGGGTGTGGAGGTATAAATGAAAATGGTGGACAACTGAATTTTACAAACTCATATGGTACTTAACCAAAACTCTATATGGTTTAAATAGGATCTCTCTCATGATCTCTGAGTCATTTCTCAGTCATGTGTAACTCTTTGTGATACCATTTGAGATTTTCTTGGCAAAGATAATGGAATGGTTTGCCATTTCCTTCTCCAGCTCATTTTACAGATGAGGAAACTGAGTGAAAAAGGGTTAAGTGACTTGCTCCGGGTCCAGCTACTAAGTGTCCAAGGCCAAATTTGAGCTCAAAGAGGTTAGTCTTTCTGATTTCAGGCTCAGCACTCTATCCACTGCATTACCTACCTGCCCAAAATGGTAAGCTAATTTTTAAAACCCACAACTTTCATAGGAATACCTGCACTGCTTTTCTCCTTCCTGCCCACTTTCTCTTTAGTAATGCCGGCCCCCAGAGAAAATAAAATATGCAAGTGTTTCCTCTCCAGAGAGCCAGTGATTGCGCTTTCGGATGGATGCCCCCACCAACTGTTTTGTTCAAAGGCTCCTTGTTGTTGCTGTTCAGTCATTTCAGTTGTATCTGATTCTTCAAGACTCCATTTGGGGTTTTCTTGAGAAAGATAATGGAGTGGTTTGCCATTCTCTTCTCCAGCTCATTTTACAGATGAGGACACTAAGGCAAACAGGATTAAGTGCCTTGCCCAGCTCGTAAGTGTCTGAGGCCAGATTTGAACTCAGGAAGATGAGTCTTCCTGATGCCAGGCCCAGCACTTTATCCACTACACCACCTTGCTGCCTCTAAACCATGTCAAAATACCCAACCCACCATGTTTTAAGCTACTTTCCCCTCTTAGAATGTTAGCTGAATGTCAAGAAGTAGCCAGAGATAGTGTCTTCTATTATCATCTGGAGTTCATATGGGCAAGAGTAATGAAATCCAGTTTATTCCACATCTTTCTTTACAGTCCCACCAACCACAAACTCAATTTGGTCTCCTCCCCTCTTGTTTTTAATTCCTCCACTGTCACTGAAGAGGGACCCCGAAGGCGGACTTACATGAGCACCAAACTTCACCAGAGAAATGTTATTCTTGGGTGTCAGCTGCCAAACATTCTTCATTAGGAACCCAATGGCACTGCTGTATCTATCTGCAGTTGGCATATAATTCTTGAATGTGCTTTTGCTGAGATGAATAGGTCCATCGTAAATCTGAAAACCTCTAATTGGAAATGTCCTGTTGAAACACAAATTAAATCACAGGTGAAAATGGGTACAGTTATTAAACATTATGTAATTTCTTCCAATGTGTTTAATTTGGAAGAGATGAAGGAAAGACTAGTTCAAGAAAATAATGAAGTAAATTTGCCTTCCCAAGTCAAATGTAGCCAAAAAAAAAAAAAAATCAACATTTTTTTCTTTTTGAATAAGCACTTTTACTAGCTACATTTTGCTAAGCATTAACTATATTTTACACCATTAGATTGGAAGATTCTTGAGGGCAGAGACTATCTTCTGCTTCTTTTTGTATCCTCAGCACTTAGCATAGTGTCTGGCACATAGAAGGTGCTTTACTGATTGATTGGATGGCTAATAAATATAGACAAAAATACTCAGAATGGGAAAAAAAATCGACCAATAAACATTTATTATATACCTATTATATGCATAGCACTGGCAGAGATACAAAGATAATAGTGAAAGAGTCCTTGTCCTCAAAGGGCTTATATTTTTAAATCTACAGAAGCAGAAAGGACCTCTCTTCGAGCTGCTAATGAGGCAATGAAAAGGTCAGAAATGAAGGAGCTGTTATATTAAAAAGAACTAAAATGAGAAACAGGAGAACTGGGATCTAGAATTGGTCCTACTCTAGTATGACCATAAATAAGTCCCCTCATCTCTCTGTGCCCCAGTTCCCTAATATGTAAAATTAAGTAGTTAAAGGGCAACAGTCTTTAAGGTCCCTTCCACCTCTGAAATTCTATGATTCTATAATTCATGTCAGCATGACTATAAATGTTCAAGTTTAGAAGGGCAGATAAATCTAGGGAAATACCTATACCGAGAAACACAGTCCTTCTGTACTCTAAGCTTCTTGGGTTGTCATGTGAAGGTTCCATAAAATACCAAGTAGCAACACTTCTATTTTAGCCACATACACAAAAAAAAAAAATGTTAGGAATAAAATTTATACTCTTTGAGAGCAAAAATCATTTATTTCATTTGTCTTTGTATTCCTAGGGCCTAACACAGTGCCTTGTATTTTGATAGGCACTTAACAAATGCCTAATTGAATTAGAGACACTCAAATTATTTCATTATTCTTAACTCTTTTCCCTGGAATTTCTATAGCAACTGACCAATCTCTAATATGACAGCACTGCCCAGCAAAGATTCCTTTTCTTGCTGGCAGAAAATAGTCTATTGTATTTAAGACTGCAACCTATGCATAAAAACGTCCTTCTCCTCATGGCACTCAAGCTGTGACCCACATATTGTCTGAACAGTGCCTGGCACACATAAGTGCCTAATATATTTCAGGATGATAATTCCCAAGGGAGAAGAGCCCAGAATAAACAATAATTCACTGGAGTCAGGTTGGCTTGACCATCCAGGGAAACCAAGGTAAATAAATCAAATCAAGTCAATAAACATTTATTAAGTCTGACCTATGTGTAGGCTCTGTGCTACATGCCAGGGATACCAAAAAAAAAAAAAAAAAAGGCAAAAAAAATGGTTCCTGTTCTCAAGGAGCTCATAGTCTAATGGGGTTGTGACACGCAAACAACTACATACAAACAAGATAAAGAAAAGAGAAATCAGAGAACATCTCTGAGAGAAGACATGAAGATTGAGGACAAGGAAAGGCTTTTCTGCAAAGGTAAGACTTTAGCTGAGACTTGAAGAATGCTAAGGTAGCCCCGAAGCAGAAACAAGGAAGGAGAGAGTTTTAGGCATGAGAGACAGCCAGGAAAAATGCCCAAGGCTGGGAAATATAATGTCTTGTGCAAGGTACATGAGGGAAGCCATTGTCATGGGATTGGAGAATACTTGGAGGAAAGTAAGGTATAAAATGACTGGAAAGGTTACAAAATGTCTTTCTTCACACCCTATCTTTTCTGAGTCAGTCTACAGAGACAACCTTAGTGATCATCAAAACAGGGACTTTTACCATTGGTTCTACCATGAAGTCTTTGGGAAGTTTAGTTAACTTATTCACTCTGACTTTCCCTGGTGTGAAATGGAGATGATAACTCTAGCCTGCCTCCATGACTGAGGGGTGGATTAATTATTGAAGAATTGCCCTAGGTGGCACAGTAGATAGAGCACTGGCCCTGGAGTCAGGAGACCTGAGTTCAAATCCGGCCTCAGACACTTGACACTTAACTAGCTGTGTGACCCTGGGCAAGTCATTTAACTCTACTGCCTAGGGAAAAAAAAAAAAAAAAAGAAATGCCCTAAGTGCTAAGCTGTACCATGATGATTCTGTGATTATAAGGGTAGAGGCAAGCAAAGAGCCAAAATATAATCTATTATCAAAACTGGATCTCAGTCTCAGCTGTTATGCCACTGTAGTAGTTTTCAAGTCCAGCTTCTACATTAATTTTGTTCTCTTCATCAAGAAACTCCCTTCCCTAAAATTAAATTCTGCCCCAGCCATTTCTGAAAACCCTGCAAGAGTACAAAGTAAGAAAAACCGATCTAACACCAGCTCCAAAATATTCTACAACTCAAAACACACACACACACACACACACACACACACACACGGAATCTAAGTTAGCAGGTGTCTCATGAGGATAGAGAAATTTCAAAGAAACCTTTTTTTTTACTTTCAGATATTTTGTGAAATCTATGAAGTCCTCAATAGTTGCCAACTTTAGTACTCTGGTTATTTTTTTTTCCCCTTAATAACAAGTAAGTAGAGAGAAGGAAGATGGAGAAAAAAAAATCCACAATAGGAAATGAACAGTTTCAGGATTCACATAAAAATTTTCTTAATTATTTCAAAAAACTCAGTAATATATGACTTATGGTCCGTCTGAACTGATTCAGAAACCCAAACAAGACAAAGAGATTTAGGATCTATCACTATAACTAATAAAATACCACTAATAATAATAACTAATATTTGTTATTCTTTAAAGATTTACAAATTATTTTTTATTGGATCCTCACAACAGCTCTGTAAAGAGAGCTTTTTTTTTTTTGGAGGCAAGAAAAGGAGTTATAGTGAGAAATGGAGAATGAAGTGATGGGGAAATGGAAAAATATGAAACTTTTAAAAAATAGAGGACAACAGAAGCAAATTCAGAAGGAACACAGATAAGGACAATGCCCAACTATTGAGTTAAATTTAATATATATTATAAAAAAAAACTAAGATCTACATGATAAACTTTTGCCATGACATATATATTTTTTCTTTTCTTCTTTGTTTAGATAAAGTGTTCATTGTTATTCATAGTTATAGTAGCTAGCATTTATATAGCATTTTTAGGTTTGCAAAACTCTACAAATATTATCTCATTTGATCCCCACAATAGACCTGGAAGGTAAGTGCTCTTGTTAATCCCATTTTACAGATAAGGAAACTGAGGCTGAAAGAGGCTCAATGACTTGCCCAGGGCCACATAGCCATTAAGCATCTGAGGTCAAATTTGAACTCAGGTCTTCTTGACCCCAAGTCCACTCTCTCCACTGAGCCATTTTTGTTTCTGTTGTTGCTGTTGCTGTTTGTCAAGTTCAAAACAATAAAAAATACATTCATTTTCTTAAAACAGCCCTGTAAAGCGAGCACTACCAACAGCATTATCCTCATTTTACAGGTAAGGAATTTAGGTTTCAGTGACTTACCCATGGTCACCCAGGGAATATAGGGGGCAATATTACAGTCCAGGATTTCCTGATTCAGCCAAGTATTCTAGCCACTACAATGCACAAACTCTCCTAGTCTGGAAAGCAGTCTTACCTGTTCCTAGGCAAAGTCCGAAGTCTCTTGGAGATCCCTCCAATGCCTGCATACTTGTTCTGACCACCCTGAAAGCCATAGTTTTGACTCTCCCCAACAAACAGAGACTCTGATACTTCTTGGCTGGAACCTTCATCATTGGGGAAGCTTCCATCACTGTAAAATGAGAATGACTAAAATTACCTAAACAGAAAGGCAGGTTAAAATCTATGTCATAAAAGAAACCCTTAAATTTCTTTTAATGTATTGCAATTTAAATCAGGAATTTTCTTGTCTTTGAAAAGAAAATCAGAACAATTCACCTTCACGTCACGAAATAGTGAAAATCTTACAAATTAAACACATACAACTGAAGGGGTTTTTTTTGGGGGGGGGTGGCAACAATCTGATAGTCCTAGGACAAGATATACCACATTTAATAAAAGAAAAAAGAGGGTAAAAACATGGACTTTCATTTAATGTAATTATTAAGTCAACAAACATTTATTAAGAATCAACGATGTGTCAAACATTATGCTGAGAACTGGGGACACAACCTCCCCCCAAAAAAATTATTAATAGTTAGCATTTATACTTCACTTTAAGTTTTACAAAGGGCTTTACAAATATTATCTGACTTTATCCCCACAACAATCCTGTGAGGTAAGTACAATCCCCACGTTACAGATGAGGAAACGGAGGCTGAAAGAAGTTAAGGGACTTGTCACAAAGACTGTCCGGCCCTCAACCTCCTGTATCACCTTATGTAGTAAGAGTCTTGCTTATGTAGTAAGAGTCATGACTAGAGAAGGATAGCTTTTGGACAAAACAAATAATAATCTCCAAATTTTCATATCCTTCCTCTTTTTTAATCTCTCAGAGATGCTTCTTCCCCTTTCTAATCTAAATTTTAAACCCTGAGAATTTTCTACTAAGAAATGAAGATAACTCTGTTTGCCTGTAAGAATCTAGTAACATCAAAGCTTCATTGGCAGTAAGAACCCCTTGTTCTTCTTGTTTTTGTTAAGATGGTAAGTTGTTTCAGTCATGTCTGACTCTCTGCGACTCTTTGGGGTTTTCTTGGCAAAGATAATAGAGTGTTTTGCCATTTCCTTCTCCAGCTCATTTTACAGATGAGGAAACTGAGACAAACAGGATTTTTTGAGATAAACAGGGAAATGTCTGAAGCCAGATTTGAACTCAGGGAGATAAGTTTTCCTGACTCCAGGCCCAGAACTCTATCTACTGTGCCACCTACCTACCCAAGAACTCCTTACCCAATGTAAGTGAATTTTTGCCTTCTGATGGTATCAGGCCTAAAGAAATCTCTCTCCTTAAACTCTCTGTACCTCTCTCTCCTATGAACCATTGATATTCGGGGGTTTTTTAAATTATATTTATTCATGAACATGTTATCTCCCACTTAACTGTAAGGTTATATAAGCTTCCTGCAGGCGAAAACAGTGTTCTCTTCATCTTTGTACACCCCAGTGTCTATAACACAATGCTTAATAAATATTTGTTGAGCTGCATAAACATTATTTCCAGAAAGGACCTTCCCTAGCTTTCCTGTATTATTTTATCTTTGTTTACAAAATCAAAGTCAAGTGGAATCATAGTGGCAAACTTAAATGTGGAAGGGTAGGGCAAGGAATATAGAAAAGAGAGAAAATAAATTGATAAAAAAATGCTAAATGCAATTACTAACCTGGCAAAGGTTAAGCCTATCCCATTATCTGCAAATCTGCAAGAAAAAACAAAATCAGAGAAATTCAATTAATCATGTAAAAGAAAGTAAAACTCCCTCATTACTTAAATGGTGGGAAATCTCAATAGGACCAATAATTATTACTCTCCCCAACGCATGAACAGAATTCAAAGAGACAACTTCAATCAAATAATTTTGCATTACTAACATCAGCTTATTATCATCAAAACCCTTTCAACATTAATCCTCTAATCATTGCTTTGGTTAGTCCATTCATCCATTTTCTTGGATGGCAAGGTCAAAAAGGAATTTGAATTGCCAAAAACGACAGATGACAATAATGTCATATCCAAAAATAGAATTCAATAATCTTTATGCCCAAAATAGAGCACCCCTCTCTTCAAATTATACACAGATTAGGAGTGAAAATATATATTACAGCCACAAGTCATGTTAAAAACATAAGTCAACAAAACTATTAAGATAGTGGTAGAAGAGTTTTGTTTTTAATGGTAATGAAAGAGTTTAAGGGGGGAAAAAAACCTTTGGCAGCCTCTAAGAAAACCCACATTTTCCCTCATTTTTATTTGGTTTTAGGACATTATCCTTCTTATTCACATACAGTTAAATTCCTAGTTTCTGTGTAACTCTAGAACTGTCATTCTACCAGACTGGTTTTTTTTTTCAGGGAAAGAAGTAAGACGATGCAAGAAGGAAAAAAAACCATTTGCAAGAGACCAAGTAAGTGAACAACCCTAGTGGTAAGTAAGGAAATCATCACCACAGCCCTGGGGCCAGGGAAGGGGGAAGCCCCTGAAACGGCTGTGGGATATAAATTTTCCCCTGAGGACTTTAGTTAAATCCCAGAAATTTTGGTCGAAGACAAAATACTGCAAACAACCAAAAAAAAAGGAGCCACAGTCAGGATCATCACAAAACTTGGCAGCTGCATATAAAAGAGAGGAGAGTTTGACACACAATATTCCAGAAGGCAAAAGATTAAGGCTAAAACCAAGAAAGAAGCAAAACGGGACAACTCTTGTTATACTTGGTGAGGTAGCCCCTACATGTGATTCCTCCCTTACATTAAGAGGAGTAGGATAATCACAGGATACAATATCATCTTCTCCCATATTTAACATCATGAAAAAAAAGTTTTCAACTGTCAATTAAGCTATTTTGTTTAGGTCACATACGCTGAATTCTGAATGATAATATCTCCTCCTCGGACCCATGCTCCATGATCATTATTTTTAAAAGTGATGAGTCTGTCAATGAGAGCAGCAACACGGGGTTTTTCTAGGTCTGCATCTTGATGAGGTCGAAACCTTGAGATAAGGGGAGGAAAGTATAAATGCTGTAAAACATAAGTACTATAGATATGGATTAGGTAGCATATTTATTTGTACCTGTATAACTTAATGGACTTTTAAAAAAAGAAAACCTTTCATCTGATTTAAAATTAATGTTAGTTTCAGTTTCTGTCCATGTATTAACATTATATTAATATTTCAAAAATTCAAAGAAATACAAGATTACTTTTCCCATTGATATATGATTATATCAGTGTGGGCTTTTTCTCTAACAGTGATCTTCACAAACATCTATGTAATTTCAGTCTGGGCTTTTTATCCATACCCTCCTATAAATCCTCGATGATACACTTATCCAATCCTCTGGAAGCCTTCCTCTCAGATGAGATACCAGTATAATGCTCATTCAGGCGGTCCATCTGCCAAGTCCTCATTCTTTCTATATGACTAGCCACCTTCCTTTTCTAGTCATACATGTCATGAATGTTTTCTATGCAGATCAATATATCCACACTGATTCCCTCAGTTTGGCATATTACTCCCAAGGCGTTAAAATCGAAACAAAAGTTTCAATATACATACCAAAATATTTGTAGCAGTAATTCTGTGTTTTTTTTTAATTAAAGAAAAAAAAACCTAACCACCACATAGATAGAAAAACAACTCAACAAACTTTGATATATGTATGGAATGCTTTTATACAATAAGAAATGGTGAATGAGAAATTCAGAGAAACATGGGAAGATCTGTAAGAACTGATGCACAGTAAAAATAAGCATAACTAGAATAATAATCTTCATAATGACTATAATCAAAGAAAACACTAAGAGGAAAGGAATAAGCATTTATATAGTGCCTACTCTGTGTCAGGTACTATATTAAACACTTTACAAGTATTATCTCATTTGATCCTCACAACAAGCCTAGGAGGTGGCTACTGTTATTATCTCCACTTCACAGTTAAGGAAACTAAGGCAAACCAGAGTTTAAATGATTGTCCAAGACCACGTAGCTAATAAGCGTCTGAAGCCTGATTTGAACTCAGATCTGGAATGCTCTGGCCCTTCCCCCCTACCTCTTACTTTTGCTGGCTTCTTTCAAAATTCAGTTCAAATTCTACCTTCTGCAAGAGACTCCCAAGCGGCTAAAGCCTTCATCTCACAGGTGCCACAGTTTTTGCCTCTCTTTGTATTCCCAGAACTTAGAATGGTGCCAAAGCTCAGAGTAAGTGCTTAGCGAATGTGTGGACTGATTGATTACAAAGTGCTGAGAGGGGGAGAGGAAGGTTCTGTTAGGGACCTATATCCAGAAATGACTGATATATTATGAAGGTATCAAACTTATTTTTTTTACAAAGACTCCACCCTAAAAAGAAAAAAGATATTCCAGTTGTTGAGATTTGCCTTGTCAATAAGGAAAGATATAGTCATAAACATTCCTTAAGGGGAGATTTAAGCTTATATGGGACAGAGGCCATTCTCACATATGCATTCTATTCAACCCTTATCCTGACATAAGACACGAATGCAATAAATCTGTCCTTTGATTCAATATTATTTGTGAGTTTTAATCCAAATCTATTTGCCTTTCTTTGTCTCCAATCTACTCCAAGAACCCTACCCCAGCAGCCTGGGGCCGAAGGGACAATTCCTCTGACTCTTGAGCTACCAATCAGCCCTCCACGGGATAGGATCACAGCTTAGTAGTTTCCTAGTCCTTGCACAATATCAAGCAGATGGAGCATTCTTATAAAGGAAACTGCACAATGTTCTCAATGAGAGCCAAAATAAAATGAAAAAAAAAAAATTGTCCTCGATACCACACATTGCAACATCAATGCCTCTCTAGTCATTTCTAGAACTAACTCTAGGCAATCTGTTGCTGCCTATGCCATGATGGTGCATTAAATTTACAATCTTCTGTTTATGCTTCAGAATAGATGCTCTCTTGCTTTATGTTCCTTTTAATCACATCTTTTCCCTCTCTTGGCTCTCTCTTTTGTATCTTGATATCTCTCAGTATCTTTTAAGCTTAGCCCAAATTTCCAATTTCCCACCACACAACTGGCTTTACACTCACTCTCCTTTCAAACTCTGGAGTTTGACATCTTATTGGCATAAAATTAATCTGATTAACTGGTGAGTAACTTTGTCTTTCTGAAGAAGGTCTAATATAAACAGAGTATCCCAAAAAGTTACATATATACATATACATATTATATATACATACTATATTTTTTTCAGGTTTTTTTGGGGGGGAGGAAGGGGGAGGCAATTGGGGCTAAGTGACTTGCCTAGGGTCACACAGCTACCAAATGTCAAGTGTCTGAGGCTAGATTTGAACTCAGGTCCTCCTGACTCCAGGGCCAGTGCTCTATCCACTGTGCCACCTAACTCTGTGTGTGTGTGTGTGTGTGTGTGTGTGTGTATATACACACATACATATATATATACACATATACATATACAGACACATAGATACATAGATAGAGAGAGAGAGAGAGAGAGAGATATTCCAAAAAGTCTTAATGTAGTTTTTTAAACTTTAGTACCCTGTATATCTTATGGAAGTCATCAACCTAATGTTTCATTCATGAGTTGGCTTATTACCCATTTAGTTGGCAATTTAATCATGGGCTCCCATATCTGAATTACCTGAATGCATGTGTGTAAATCATGGACATTTTTTTTGTGTAAAATTAAATGCCTAAGACAGTTGTCAAAATGTGCTGTTACTTTTCTTCTACAAAATGGTGGTCTCAATAAGTACTTCCAAATGGAATTCCCATTTCCTTTCCTATGAATTATTTATATATGCATATATATGCATATGTGCATAAGTTAGTGGAATCAAAGAGATTTCATGATTAGCCATAACATTACAAACACTAACCTAAATAAAGCATTTCTTATTCCAGTAAATGCAAATAGTTTGATTTATCACATCTGGGGACAATTTCTTTAGGATCTTTGTTATATCTGCCCTTTTGGTTCCTGATCTGTCAATTCTGTGTATGGATTTCTTAGTTTCTCAATACCTTTGGCTACAATATACATGACAAACATATGTTGACACTATATTTGGCACATTCCTTAGCAATATAGTAAGCACCAGATCTCTGATAAATAATCAAATGAGTATAATAAAGATGCTATGATCTCAAAGTAGATCTCTAAACCTAGTCAGCTATTATTCTTTCTTTCCTTTTTTATACTTTGATCAACTGTGTGGTCTCAAATTTCTTATTTATTTATTTTTATTTTATTTATTTATTTAAATGCTACTCTTAGCTTTTCAAATGCTGTCTGAATATCACTTTAAGGTGTTTCAGAATAGATCTGACCTTTGTAGAATCCTGCTGACTAATTTTACCAAGTCATGTTTTTCACAGCTTTCTCTTAATCCCACGCCTCACTAATGAACCTCACTTCACATTGAAGTCAGACTTTGTGATCTACAGGAAAATTTCTTCCTTCAATTACTTGCTAAAGACCAGACCTAGACTTATATTTCGTAAGGTCTATCAACCTAAGCTATAATATCTCTCAGTCTTGGCCATTAGACAAGTCATGTTAGTATTTAAATCTATGGTGTATCAGAGATGGAATAAAATTAACCAGGCCCCAGAACTTTTTACTGAATATATAGTTTTCTTTTTGTACAATTTTCTATGTTGTTTTGTTGACCCATCTTGCCCTTTGTTTTCTGCTATTATTTTCAAAATTTTTATTTCCATTTTTGGAACTATGTTTATCTTGGCTCAAATTATGTAGTAATGCCTGAAATGTGACACCACGTATCAACCACAGTACATACATAGTGGCTTACCACTTTGGCTGAAGAGGAAAACAACATTGGTTCTGTTTACAACTTACAGTCAAGAATGCTAAAGGGAAAACAGGAGCTCAGATGATCACCACATTGTAGAACTCATCACTTCACATTAGCTTGGACAAATATCCCACTAAACCTACTGTAGGAAAATGCTACAGTGTTAGATGACAAGATTCACAGAATAAAGGAAACTGTCATTTTTAGGACTATAACACAACTTAAACAATACCATGGAATAACATGGAAGCGGATAGGGAATAGGACTTGAAATGAAGAAGACCTGGTCTCAAACATTGCCTCAGACACTTACCAACTATTTGACTTTGAGAATGTAATCTAATCGCTCTCCACTTCAGTTATGAAATGTATCCCCGGGATAATACCTATAGAATATACTTCACAAAGTTGCTGTGAGGATCACAAGTTTATGTAAAACATTTAAAAAGCTATTTAAATCTCTGCTTCATTTACAATAACTCTCTCTCTCTCTCCCCCTTCTTCCTTCCTCTCTTCTCTTCTTATTCCTCTCCTTCTCCCTTTCCCTCCCCACTCCTCTCTCTCCCCAAAACCCTGCAAAACGAATGTAATACCAAGCCATTTGCATTATAATGAATTCTTATATTTGTAGTCAAAAAAATGTCCATGATACATTCCTGATGCCTATATCAACAACCTTCTAGACAGCTCGGATCTTACTATAGGATAACAAGTTCCTTTCATATACTCGGTATATGTTTTACATATTTCCCCATTAAAATATAATCTCCTTCAGGGCAGGAACTGTTTTTGCCTTTCTTTGTATTTCCGAAACTTAAAACAGTGCTAAGTATATACAAAGCACTTAATAAATGCTTGTTAATGTGACTTGATTTAGCCAACCTGGACTCCCCTTGAAGGAGACAGTTCTTTGTCTCACTACCTAAAAATAAGCTGTAATTCTGGTCAAGAATGCACTGCCTCACTTTCTCAAAGTAGCTGAATTCAGGGGTGAGTCAGTGCTTTATGCAAGCCTCCTCTAGAAACACATCATTATGACATATTCCAGTGTCACTATTGCTTAACTACACTATTCTCTCTTCAATAAGCAGGAAGCAATGGCTTTCTGAAACTGCAGAAATCTCAAATTGCTGGCAAAGAAAGTGATTCCATTTAAGAAAATTTTATCATGAATCTATGCTGTGCAAAAGTACTCTGTTAGGTACTAGGGTAATGGAAAAAAATTTAGCTAAGATGTAGGACATATTCTCATGGAGTATACAATAAAGAGTCACCACACATGACCACATAACTGCAATGCATAAATACATCACAGAGGTGTAAACCAAAGTGCTGCAAGAGGCCCAACAGAAAAATTATGCACCATGAGGAGGTTCAAAAAAGACTTCATAGAAAAAAAGGTAGCACTTCAGCAACACTTTAAAGATTGGTTAAGGAAGTGAGCAGAACGAGGAGAACAAGTCAACAATAACATTATGAAGAAAAACAACTTGGAAATACTCAAATTTGATCTTTATCTTCAGTCCATGGCTGGTCATAATGACCAATGATGATTCCAAAGGACTGAAGATAAAGCATGCTACTCTCTAACTGACATAAAGGTGATGTACTCATGATGAAGAATAAGAGTTATATTATCAGACAATCTGTCTGGGAAACTTATATTTGACTACGTAGATTTCTTACAAGGATTTTGTCTTTTTATTCTGCAATGGTAAGGGGATGGGGGAGGGAAAAGAGGATAGGGAGAGGATAATAAAACAAGAAAAGAAATAGAAGAAAGACAATGAAGCATTTTTAAGATGACTTTTTTAGGACTGGGGAAGACACAGACATATTTATAGGTAGATGAAAAGAAACCAATAGAAAGGAAGATATTAAAGACGCAAGAGAGACAGACAAAGACAGAAGGTAGGGGGAGATAACTGGTGAAACAAAGTCACAAAGAAGGAAGGTGGGGAATGCAATCAAGGGTGCATGTAAAGAAATCCATCTCACTAAGGAATAGATGCCTTTTCTTCTGTAGCCAGAAGGAAGCAAGAGAGAATAATTTGGTGATAATTCTAAGAAGCTGTGAGGAGTCGAACAGTGTGGGATGAATGAATGAGGGAGCCCACAGCAGATGGCCTCAAGCTTTTTAATTAAGAGGCTAAATCTTCTGTTGAAAATATAGGGATATGATAAGTAGCAAAAGGAAGAGGGAAAGGGTTGGATTTATCACTGTGGGAGAACAGACAGGAAATTAATAAGAGTAAAATAAAAAGTATGTCAAACTACATCAATTAAGGGCCCAGCTGAGATTGTGAAGGATAAATTCAATCTCTAAAATCAGCTTATTTCATGAGGGTTGTTTTTTTCCCAGCAATGCTCTCAGGTCCTGGAGCTTAAGCAAAGTTGGAATGGCAGCAGAGGGTGGTAGGATGAAGATTAGCAAGTTGAGAATGTTAGGTCAGCGAGGCAAGGGATTCTAGGGTAATAGTCAAACATTACAGAGGCAAACCATAGGATCAAGGCTCGGTATCAAGGCAAGTAAAGACTAAACAGGGGAAATTGAGTAGAATAGAGATGGTCTCAAAGGATTAGTGGTTATAAGGAAGGAAGATGTATTTATTATGAATGAGAATGGGAGAAGTAGAAAGATAAAAGGTTGTGGAATTAGAATGGAATTTCAAAATTCTAGCTCCTGGAGGTAGTGAAATTGCAGGAGTATAGCAGAAGTAGAGTGGCAGAAGAAATTACTGAATGTGGGGGAGCTGAGGAACTAAGTAATTAGATTGTTAGCTCATCAACATACTAGGTACCAAAGTCCCTGAGGATTATGGCAGGCCTCAGGGTGGAAAGGAAGAAGGTCAGCCACAATACTAAATTTATTGGGAGAGCAGGGAGAAGGACCTAAAAGGAAGAAGTTCTGGGCATTTTCTCTGGCTGTCCCCCATGCCTGGAATGCTCTCCCTCCTTCACTCCTACTACTGACCTCCCTGGCTTCCTTTAAATTCCAACTAAAATCCCACCTTCTACAGGAAGCCTTCCCCATTACTTCTTACCTCTAGTGCTTTCTCTCTTTTAATCATTTCCTATTTATCCTGTATATAGATTGCTTTAAATATATTTGTTTGCATGTTGCCTCCCTCATTAGATTGTGAGCTCCTTTGAGGGCAGGGACTGTCTTTGGTCTCATTTTGTATCCCCAGCACTTAGCACAGTGCCTTGAACATAGTAGGTGCTTAATAAATGTTTACTGATTGAATGACTAATTGACTAAAGATGGCACCAATAAGGATGGGGAAAGAGTGACATAAACAGGAAAGGTACCAGTTACTTCTGTGGTATTTGAAGATGAAGCTTATATTACTGCATAGATGCCAAAACAGTAAAATATGTTTCCTCAACATTCACAAAAAGGGCTATTTCAGACTTTTTGAAGACTTCATTTTAATTTTTGTTTCTAGTGTCAGTGCAGCACAATGGAATCAGGTGAGACCCAAGTACAAATCCAGCTGCAATGCTGTTATTGTGTAACCCTGAGCAAGTCATTTACTTTCTATAAAACTGTTTCTTCCACGTACAAATTGGGGATAACCCACCACACAAATGTGACCTATTATCATTATTATTATCATTGCTATCATCATCTCCTGAGTCTCCCCCAATATTAGTAGACTCTTTCCAGAAATCATTGTGTAATTTTGTATTTACTTATCTTTGTACATGTTGTCTCCCCCCTCCACCCCACTCCATCAGTAAAACATAAGCTCTTGGAAGGTAGGAACTGTTTTCATCTTTAGCTTTTTGTCCCCAGCACAGTACCAGGCACACAGCAGACACATAACAAACACCTGTTGAATTGAATTATTATCAATGACTTGACTTAGAAAGTTTCCATTGGCTTAGTATACATTGGGTAGAATTTTAGAAGTTAAGATGTGTACCTTGCGCTGTTATCCAAACACAGATACTCTCTTGGATCAGAAGCACTAGCATTGGATGTTTTTACACCTTTGTCAATAAACAAACCTGCCTGGAAAACATAATTAAGGAGCATGCACTTAAAACCACGACCACATGTACATTAAGTCAAGAAACCCCAATCTTCTTTCACAAATAGTCCTGAAACTAAAAAGAAATTCTAAATATGTTACAAAAGGACCCCTTTTCTTTTTTAAGCTATTTCAATCATTTAGCAGCTCATTCTATCTTATTTCAGTACAAACCTTTCCCAGGGACATATAAAAGACTAAAACCTGGGGAAACCTCTCTGATATCTGACAGCATCTGATGCTGAGATACATAAATATTCAGAGAAACATTTCTTCTCACTGAGAAACACTGGGTCAAAGTTGCTTCAGTCACTGGGGTACTTGTCTGACAAGATGGCCACTGCTCTTCGTTCAGATGTGGAAAGAAAATTTTATAGCATATGACCGAAAATCTGAAACCATCTGCTCAACAGTGTCCCGTGTGTATAATACTGATATTTACATAAACATAATAAACATAATGCAGATTTTGTACAAAATAATGAGTGGATAATCTGTTACTTGTATGTACACTTAATTTTGACAGTAAAAATTGTGTTTAGGAATGGTCATTATATAGATTCTTACTTAGGGTGAAAACAAATTAATCACTCACACAATTTTAAAACTATTGTCCAAAATTGAAAAAAATAAATATCTGTGTTTATACATTTAGAATACTGAAAATAAAAATAGCACTTTACATTTTGCAACTCTTCTGTCAGGTGAGGACCATACTTGTAACCACCCACATGAGAGTTACAAGCCTATCTGAGTTTCAGAGGAGTCATAACTAGCCTCCAGGTACAGAGCTAGTAAACATCAGAGAAACAAACTCCAATCCCAGGATTCTGACCCTTGGTCAAAGGACCTAGAGCTTAAAGGAACCTCAGAAACTACCTTCTCTAATCCACTGTAAAGAAGAGGAAACTGAGGCTCACTGAATGACTCCCCTATCACATTCTGTCTCTCAGTAAGCAAAAGTGAAAATTTATATTGAGACCACTTCACTTGCCAAATGTCTATTGAACTACCACATTTAACGTTCGTGGGAATTTTCACTTTGAAAAACTGCTTTCACATATTATTACTTTGAAATGTCTCTTCATCCCTGGTTGAAATACCTGGTTGTTCCTGGAGTGAAGATAATTTGCCCTACAACATGGTGGAGTGAAAAGAATCTCAGGCTTATAGGTGTCAGGGTCCTGACTCTGACATTTCCTAACTATGTGATCTTGGTTAATAATACTATATTTCCTCAAGGGATTGTTGCAAGGAAAATGCTTTGTAAACCACAAAGTACTATATGTCAATGTGAGTTATTATTACTTTTTTAGAGGCAGCTAGGAGGTGAAATGGACAATGCCCTGGGCCTGGAGTCCGGAAGTCCTGAGTTCAAATTCCACCTCAGATACTTACTAGTTCTGTGACCCTGGGAAAGTCACTTAACCTCGGTCTGCCTCTGTTTCCTCAACTGTAAAATGGGAATAAGAATAGCGCTTACCTCCCATGATTCTTGTAAGTACTGAATGAGATAATGTTTGTTAAGTGCTTAGCACAGGACTTCGCTCATAGTAGCCAATTAATACATTTGTTTCCTTTTTTCTTTTTTAAATAAATTACTATTTAAATTTTTTTAAAAAAGAATAAATAAGTGAAATATTATTTTAAATATTTTTAAGCTCTTTAAAGTATGACAATAGAGTTTTTAGGGGAACATCTGAGTAGCACTATGCACATTTAAAACTGAAATGGAACACATTTATGGGCAAGGTTTCTGGACTTCACATAACATACAAAAAAAGTATTATTAAAAACCAAGTAAATTACTATTTATGTCAGATTTACATTAGGAAGAAACAATTTGTCCATCTTCTCCCAACAACCAGATTCCAATGTCACAAAATGATTTGCTTGACCGTTTTTTTTTTTAAGTTGTCAAATCCATTTAAGGAAAAAACATTTCACTCATTCATTTACTCAATCAGTTAAATGTTATTGATCATAATAGCACAGTACTAATCACTGTGATATCACATATGGGAGGAAAAGATTCCTTCCTCCTGAAACTTATGTCTAATTTGAACAGGATTAGAAATATATCTAAAAGTTTTAAGTGAAGTAAAGTGTATTCCAAATAAAGTTGTATATATACACATACACACACACACACATATATATATATATATATCCTGGGAGGTAAAGGTGTCTAGTGTGGTTAAATATGTCTCACTGGATATGGATAAAGTCTATATGTGAGACCAGCCACATGTGAAACACATTTCCACAAAATTACTCAGTTCAGATATTCCTGCTGCCCACTAGGATAAAGAAATGCCTTCATGTTAGTATTACTACACCGAGAAACCCTCAGAACTTACATAGTATGAAAATTCTAAAGCTACTCAAACGTATCAGTGAGGTTCTTTCCCCAAAGAAAGCATATACAACATACAAATAAAACCATCCTTCATATATTTGTTAGACTAATTAGTTCAAAAGCTCAAAATTAATTTCCTTTATAATTGGTTTTAACTTCCATTCCTCAACTGTACTCACATCTTTTCTCCCAGAAAAAAAATTTACCCATTGGTGTGAGAAACAATAGGAACTGACCTTAAAATTTGAATGTACTCTGTTGTTATAAAAAATACCCAGTGGTGTAAGTTCTGCTTTGGTTAATCCATGTGATTCACTGGATTCTCCTGTGGCTTCCTTGTGGAATAAATACCATATTCCGGCATCCTAAAATCAAAATGAAGAGATTATTAGTAAAAGCTTATTTTTTTAAAAAAGACATTCTTGTCACAAGATGGTTTCAGAAAAACCTGGGAATAGTCATGTGAACTCATGCAAAGTGAAATGAGAAGAATCAGGAGAAAATTGTACATAGCAACAGCAATATTGTAAAGATGATCAACTGTGAAAGACTTAGCTAGATCAAGACAATGATCCAAGATAATTCCAAAGGACTCGTTATGAAAAATGCTGCCCCCCCATCAGAAAATAAAAATGATAAACTCTGAATACAGACTGAATTTTTTACTTTCTTTATTTTTCTCTTTTTTGGTCTGTTTTCTTTTGCAATATAGTTAATATGGAAATGTTTTGATTATACATGATTTCACATGTAAAATCAATATCAAATTGCCTTCTCAAGAAGGAGGGAGGGGTGGGAGGAAGGGAGAGAATTTGGAAGTCAAAATTTTTAAAAATGAATGTTAAAAAAATTTACATGCAATTGGGAAATAGTTAACAAAATAAAAATGCATTGAAAAAAAGACATTCTCATCCAATCTCTTTCTATATCAATCATTTCATTCCATTTCCCTAAACATTAATGTACAGTGTTACAGGTTAAGAACAAATTACAGAAAACCAAAGTTACAGATAGTACACTTGAACCCACAGAATAGACTTAAAACCCATTTCAGCTTGTTTTTTAGATTAGGCAAAAAAAAAAAAAAAGGAGATGTTAAAAATAATAAGTTTCTACTACCATTTGCTTAAAAAGTCTTTGGTTATTATCTAGTACTAAAATCATTTCCAGACATGTTTAAGAAAGGGCCAAGTTGTAACAACCACATTGTGACTAACTTTGATAGACTTAGCTCTTCTCAGAGATACAAGGATCTAAGACAACTCTGAAAGACTCATGATGGAAAATGCTATCCACATCCAGAGAAAGAACTATGCTGTCTGAATGCAGATCGAAGCATATTATTTGCTCTCTTTTTTTGTTTTGTTTTGTTTCTTCTTTCTCATAGTTCCTCCTATTGGTTCTAATTCTTCTTTACAACATGACCAATGTGAAAATATGTTTAATAAGAATGTATATGTAGAGCCTAAATCAGATTGCATGCTGTCTTGGAGAGGGGAAAGGGGAGGGAGGTGGAGAAAATTTAAAACTCAAAAGCTTATGGAAGTGAATGTTGGAAACTAAAAATAAATGAATTAATTTAAAATTTAAAAAAAAAAGAAAGGAAGGGCCAAGTCAACAGACTCACCACAAAGACAACACACTGAGTCTAAGCAATAAGGATTTTTGTTTAGTCCTAAAATGATAAATAGATGAGTCATGCCCATTAGACAACCATTCAGCCAACATACAGATCTTACTGACTCCTTGCAAATAGCTCTAATGCCCTTCCTGTCCTGAAACTTTTTTTTTTTTTTCAAAAGAAAAAACACAGCATAAATGAATCAGCATCCTGTTTGGCCTTGGAAATGCTGTCAGTTTGAATACTGTGTTACTGCCCTTAACAGGAACACAGGAAAGATTTAGGAATTTTCTGCACTCAAGATATAGAAGTGGAAATAATTGAATCTGTCTTAGTCTACTACCTATTAGCATAGAATATAAACAAAGACTCATTATACAGAGGATAAAATAGTCTTCTACCTTACTTTGATGAAACAAACAGATGAAACCTAAGAATATGGAAGAGGAAAATCTTATGTGAATTGAGAACAGGAAAGAATAAAGCATAACTTTTGGTTTTTTTTTTTGAAAAGGCTATAATTGTACCTCATTAACGAGCTAGTGTGGGAAAATGTATATATTTGCCTATTGGCATCACTCACAAAGGTGATAGATGAAAGAAAGTATACTTGGAGGGCAGGGAGAAGAGCTTAGTACAGCTACAATCCAAACCTGCAAGTTAAAACCAAAGAGAAAAAACTTACCCCAAAATATGTCTCTGAAAAGAAAATTTTTTTTAAAAATAAAATAAAATAAATAATTGGGGCAGCTAGGTGGTACCGTGGATAGAGCACCGGCCCTGGAGTCAGGAGGACCTGAGTTCAGATCTGCCCTCAGACACATAACACTTACTAGCTGTGTGACCATGGGCAAGTCACCTAACCCCTTTGCCTAGCCAAAAAAAAAAATATATATGTCTCTGGTCCCACAGCTTTTTCTTGTTAAAAAAAAAAAAAAAATGTGCTTCATTACTCTCTGGGATCCATACATGATTTTTCTGAATTTTTCCACCATTCCACAAGCAGCCTCTTCAGCCTAGCTCAGAAGACCCTCCCTGCAGTCTCCTCACCCTGGAAGGACACTTTGGCCTTGTAGTTCCTACCAGAATTCATTTTTAAAAACTGCCCAGGCCAGCCACATTTTCATTCTTCTCTGTGGTCCACTCCCAACTCTCCAGGCTTTCTCCCCTTGCCTCCTCTCCTCCTCTACCCCTATCCCAACCTCCAACTTTTTGCTTCATTTTATGGGTTGTCTCCCTCTCTCAGAATGTAAGCTTTCTGCTTATATTTATCTCTCCTGTGCTAAGCATAGTGACTGGCACAAAGTAAGTGCTTAATGAATGCTTCTTGTCTTGTTGACTGCAGTTAAAACAGGTAAAAGGAACTTTGCACAAGAACCATGGAGATGTACACTGAAGAAAGGGCTTCATTTACTTCAAGAGTGAAAGTCCTGCCAAAGGGCTAGCTAGCTTTGCTGGATGAGTTTCCCTGGGAAGAAGGAAATGAAGGCGAGCATGTTTTTTCATTCCATAGCACCAAGCCTGAGATCAGAGAGAAACAGAGAGGGACAGAGATAGAGACAGAGACAGAGACAAAGAGACAGAGAGAGAGAGAGAGAGCACAAAGGGCATGCCTTTTACACCGTGTACCACAACAAGAGAATAACATTTCCTTACATTTTCCCATAGATCCTTTCCAAGAATTTTATTCAACATATCAATCCAGAAACAACTGAAAGAAATCTTTATCCTTGATTCTTGTCCTTGAGATCATACATATCAAAGGACAATGCTAAATGAGACTGATTAGCACATAGTAGGCACCTAATAAATGGTTACCAACCCACTGACTTCACAGTTAGCCTATCCGTAAGGATCCATCTTCAGATCAGAAGTTTCACAATATGGGTATTACAAAGCATAACACAGGGAAGGGTCGTCTACAGGCTGTAAAACAAAAAGCCTACACAGGGCTGTCAGGATTGAATTAAACTACCTCTGTGACCCTGGGCAAGTCACAACCTCACGGGGCCTCACTCGCCTCATTTGTAAAATGAGGAAGTTGGACAAAGTGGGCCCTGAAGTGACTTCAAGACCTAGAACTACGGTCCCTATGAGCTGTGAAATTTACGTTCATGAAGAAATTGTCTCAATAGGAGCAAGTCAATCAAGCAATCAATAAACATTTATTAATTGCTTACTGTGTGCCAGATACTGTACTAATACTGACTCCTGTATACCAGTTTTCCCCAAGGAGAATGTATTTCAGCTAGTCTTTTGATTCAAGCCAGATTCACACAAACCATATCCTCAAGTTCTGGAAAGCAGCGTCAAGTGTTTCCTTCCATCCAAAGCTGTTTTCTTTTAATAGTAGTGATATCCAAAATATACACCCTCAATATATTAAGATAAGAAGGCAAATTTTATAACTTCTTGGCTGTATTTGACCAATACTGATACTGCCTTGGGGAGACAGCAAGTTAAAGTGCTGTGTTTTCTTTTTTTTTTTTTTTAACACACCCATTAAACCGTAAGTGTGGGTTTTTACAGGCTCATCATGGGAAAACATCAGTCCTCTCTACCAAGGGAGCTCCATTAGCTACCTAAAATTAGCCTGATGACAAAACTTGTCCCAGTCATCCAATCCAGCACTCTAGTGCCTGCCAAATCACATGGCTGAATCCAGCTGCCTAAACAAAGGACAGACAGCCTGAAGTCAATCGGGCCACTTTCTACCTAGTATCATAATGGCTCAATACTTGTTACTACAGCCTCTAAAACAATCCATTCTCAGAAAGGAAAGTTGAGGCAATCAGCATATCATCACTAAACACCATGACTCAAATAGCAGCCGCTCAACCCCACATAACTTAAACAACAGAAGCCAAAGGAGACTGAAGACAATGGCTATATAGTATACTCATAATACAGACTGGAGACAATACGGTTCTTGAAGACGGCATCTGTTTTACTCCATAGGCTGAAGTAATGGAGGGACCCTGAACAGAGAGAAGAATTATCTTCTGTCCTTGTGACAACAGGTCAGGTCAATACCCTGGAAAAGCACTGAGTATTTATAACACCACAAAACAGAATATATAACACATGCACAAACTTTTTAGTGAAAAGACAGAAAGAATAATTCAATAATATGATGGGAGGCCCATGTGCCTTACCTGTGAGCCAGCAGCTGCATTACTTATCAGATGGTTATTAGGATGAGCAATCCAGAATGTTGAAACAGCCCTGAAATGTGTTTTTTTTAGAAAGATTAAAATTTCTTCATGAAGAATCTTGACCATTGCAAAAGTCTAAAATTTTCTAAAGTCATAACACCAATATAAACAAAGAGTGGTTTTGCTTTTTTTTTTTTAATTTCCCCATCTGCCAAGTACTCACATGCAATCTGTAGCAGGCACGGGGACATAATTTCCAAACACTTTCCCTCTAATGCCTATACACATGGTGTTATTCCTGTCAGTGGGAAGGAGAGTGCCTGGTTTGGTGACAAGCCCAAGGTTGTGGAACAAAATATTCCTTTGCTCAATGCCATCTTCCAAGAAGAAACAATGGCCTAGTGTGTCAAAGCCAATAGTGTCTTTTATCTGCAGAAATACAAGTCCATTATGTCATTAGTGACAAGATTTACTGTAAATTAAGTGCAAATGATACTCAGTTTAACATTCTCGGTACGATTGCAAGAGGAAGCTTCCCTATCAGCAGCAGCAAAAAAAAGTCAAATGTCAAGTTTTATTTATTCCCCTGGTATTGTAACTGCTTTGGGTAGAAAAATTGGCTTACTGGAGAAAGATAAATATCTAAAAGCACAGCAGAAACAAGACAGAACTAGGCAGAGAGTGAAAGAAATGATTTATATATGGTTGAAAGGCCATGGAAATTTGGCATAATGAGCTGATTTTGCAATAGGCTCTAGCCTGCTTTGTTTTCAACAATAACTTAAGGTTAGATTTAAGAGTCTACCTACCAGCAGACCATCTGTTCCATGGATAGTAACACATCTAGAGAAGCAGTGATGAATAGACACACCATCCAGGTAAGTCTGAGGTCTGTAACCTCCTCTATCATCCACATCGCCACATCGGTGAAAATGCACGGGATATTTCCCCAGCTGCTGCTGCCCCATGTGCTTTAGTTCCACGTGGGAAAGATGGACTGAGGTGAAATTTTTCTGAATCTACAACACAAAGTACTAGAGTCAACAAATTCCATGCTTTAAGAAACAGAAAAGGATTGGCATTTTTTTTTAAGAAAACCCTGTAGTAGAGGGGAGAAAGAAGATAACGAGGAATGTGTGAAGTACCCTTATCAATTAAAAGGCAAGCAAAGAAAGAAATGAGAAGGAAGGAAAGAAGGAAGGAAGAAAGGAAGGAGAGAAAGAAAGAAAGAAAGAAAGAAAGAAAGAAAGAAAGAAAGAAA